GCAGGTACAGCTTTCTAGAGCACATGTATACTCCCCAAGAACAATACATGGGGATATCAAATTGAAGTATCAAAAGCTGCTGATAAAGGACCGGAACATAATCAATGAAAAAGAAGGGAGACATTAAAGCTATTAATAAAGATGGATGCTACCCAAACTTATCTCAAAACAATAATAATAAAAAAAGGTTTAACACCTATTAAAAGTCCCAGAGTTTCATATAAAAAGTTACGTAGTTCATTCAAATAATATGTAGATGTTTGCTTGAATTTCTTAAATATGTTAAATTAAATTTAATAATATCATACCGTGTAATTATTTTTTATTCGATCCCTTGCTGAAAACTTTAAGCAATTTATATACATTGTTACATTTATGTTCTATAACCTTTACCAAACTAGATTTACCAAGGAAATCCAGGTTTTTGGTCTTTACTAATGAAGCTTTGTCTGATTATCTAATTATGCTAATGTTAATATTGAATATTTTTTTTTTTTGCAAATTATTTATGACAAATGATATTACTTACTATTCTCAACTATGCAATTACAGTATTGTTCATCACATTTAGTTATCAATTAATTGCATTGTCATATTTGGCTTTTATGCACATTAAGGAAATCTTATTGAAACACAAACTTGTACAAAGAAAGATCATCTAAAGGTTGAGAAGTTATGCTCTCCCTGCAGCAAAATCCTGGCTTCACCACGGCATGCTTGATATGCTGATTGGCTCTATTGTGTTCTCAGGAGTAGAATTTGGGATGAGATGTTGTAATGATGGAAGACTACTACCTTTAAGACACTAGACATATTGTATGGGTAGTTGTTGATGGCATTGGGACTTCAAAAAATGCCGAGCACTTTCATGGAAGTTATCAGGATGATGGTATCATCCTGATAACTTCCATGAAATTAGCTCCATCATTAGGAGTATTAACTAGAATATTGGGATTTCATGATTTACTCATAACATCAAGCATAATGTGGTAGAACAATATTTCATTAAAACGACTTTTGACTGTTTACTACCTTGTTTCATCATATCTCTTTTAAATGATGTCAACTTTTCTTTTCCTTATTATTTTTTCCTTTTTTGTCGGGGGAACGGGGGGAGAATATTTTGAATTAGGCATTCTGAATATTATCTTAAGATATTGGCGTAAATTTTTTTATTTTATTTTGATAAGTAGAATTTTGGCGTAATTGACATGTTGGACGAAATTTATCCGCTGGTTTCTACTATCCTACTGAAAAGATGGCACGTTTCACAAACCTTGGATGTTAGTGTAACAGGTGTTGTAATGGGATTGTATCGCGATTTGTAAAGGGTTTGGGACCAGCACTGACATGTTATATAGCAGTCATGCCTGACTTTGAAAAACATGGTCATGCTACACATTTTTGGTGGAATTTAGTATTAAAATGGTAGCCCCATACCTATATAATTGTCATGAGTCTGAAAAAAGAAAACACAACAAAAAAGGTCAAATCAAAGTCAGATGGTTGTACTAGCAAGCCGGGAGATCTATTTGATAAAAGAGGCATAAACTCAAGAAAAAGAGAGTCGGGTGCATTAACCTTCATTTCTTGATTTATATGGAAATTTTATAAGATGGAAGTGTTACATAGGAAAATCAACTTACTTCTTTTATAGGTTGAGATGTAGCAGAAATAGACACAGTCACTTGTTTTTTTAGCTTGTAAAGCAGCTAACAAAACCTTATAACCCCAACTATTTAAGTCCTATTCGATTCTCTAATCAAAATAGAAACAATGGTAATCCAAAGATGAATAATTATGAACGATAATTTAACCTGGAATGTAACCATCCCTGATCTATACCCTAACGGGACAAATTTGGGAGCAATTAAATAGAATAGGGCTATGTTTGGAAGTAGGTGCTGAACCTGATTTAGGTTTGGACAGAGTCAGAGAGTCAGGATTTAAAGAAACCTGCCCTGCTAAAATTTTGTTATACCTCGACACAACCAGTCAGTCAAAGGCAAAGATGGATTTTGAAAAAGTCTCAATCTCCTAGACAAACTTGGGAAATGGATACCCATTTCAAATCGGACACTTGCAATCCCTCTAAATAACATAGATAGCCGACCCCAAGTAATTGGGGAAAAGGCTTGATTGTTGTTGTTGTAGGAATAAAGATACAAAATATATTGATAAAAATAACAAAACATATATTAAAAAAGACATTAAAGAAACGTAACGGTATCTACATCTATACGAAAAAAGATGTCATCCCCTAGAAATACAACTTATAGGTACTAAATATGTCCACCTACAAAACCTACTATATATTTGATATTAGTTATTTAATTTTCACAATATGGAACCCAAATCCCCCCACTACTTTATAAGTGAGGTATGGACGGTATAAATAAGGGACTACCTTTAGGTCACAAAGGTGGCACCTAACAAAGATAGTGTTGCATACAAGAAACACAGAAAAATAACAGAGAAAGTAGTACTAGACGAGTTGCATAACTAAAAGTCATAATACACTCATTCTTTGTCAAACTTACTGTTTTGTAAATACAACAAAAAACAAAGCCTTTTCCAACTACTTGGGGTCGGCTTCATGAATCTTAATTTTTCATTCTGCTCTATTTAAGGCCATAGGTTTCTTCTTCTCCTTTTTTTTTTTTTTTGGGTAAGATTTCATAAAAAGGCGCTCAAGAGGGGAGCGCTCCCAAAAGAATACACAAGGTGCCAAAGGCGACAGCTAAGCCATATGCTATCCACAAAAGGCGTGTTCTGATTGGTTGCGGTGTGTAATGGTTAAGAAATGTAAGGAAAAGTAAAAGTGAAGAAATGAAAAGGTGTGTTGGCACATTAAATGTATTCTTGCTTCAAAGACGGTGTGAAGTCGGCAAAACAGTGCTTATATATATGGAGTGATAACCTGTGTAAAATGTGGTGTGAAGAAAGCTCAGTGTGATGAGCTGAGTAAAGAGAGAGTGAAGAATAGAGAGAAGAGAGTAGAGAGAAAAACAGAGTAAAGTTATTGAAGGCCAAGAGTGAGTGTATTGCTTTTAGAAGAAGTTGTCTTCTTCTAGTGGGTGAGTGTGGAATACCTCTTGGTAATCCGTTAAGGGTTTTAATCTTCTCTATTCTCTAATAAAAGTTAGTGTGTTACTTCCATCTAAATTTTCTTTTGTTGCCATTGCATATTTGTTGTGTGTGATCTTGGACGGATTAATTCCTAACAAGTACTCCCTCTGTCCCATAAAAAATGTCCCTTTTTGGAAATCTAACTTTTTAAGAGTGTAGTTTTTAATGTTCTATTTATTTATTATAGTGGTAGGGAATGAATTTCCAAATAATTCTATGGTGGGTCAACATGCTTTTATAACTTCAAGGCAAGGAGGGAAAATTAGGAATATTAAAAAAATAGTGTGGATAGGTGGACACGTCGAGGCAAGAAGGGTCCACATGAATTGGGACAATTATTTTGGGACATTCAAAAATGGAAAGGCAGACACTTTTTATGGGACAGAGTAGTATCAAAGCTGATACAAAAAGGATTAGTTCATAACACCTGAAATCTCATTTTAAACGTGTCTTGTTAGCTCATCCATGGCAAAATAAGTATGGGCTTAATCTTGACCCTTAATGTAAGTACAGTAATTTGGAATTCACTTTTTTCTCCTACAGTCGTTCTAACTATAGTCACACAACCATCGTACACGTTCTCTATTGTGTCAATATATCCCTTTGTGACTCCTTTCTGTTTTGCAAATAATGGTTAAAATAAGTAAGCATCCAAATAAGGGCTCCACATGGGCATAGCAAATATATATTGAAAAGCGTGTGATGTGCAAGATCAACATGGAAAACTTTAGAGCTAAGCATAGATTCTAACCAAGTTGGACGAGTCTAAATTTGAGTTCAATCCAGTGGTTAACACTACCAACAGAGAAAAGGAATCAGATTCATAATTTTCAATTGGCAACAATAGAAATTGAACCCCTGATACACCCCTCTTTTAAATGCCATCGCAATACTTAAACCACCATGCTCAAAAGTCACTATACTTTAACCATATGAATCAAAGCTGATATGGATGCAACTAAAACCTAATCATAAGTATGATAATCTTATGTAACAATAACATTACAGGTGGACAAATTGAGACGTCTACGACCTATCCCAAGATTTTGATATGGAGTTAGCACAAGGTCCGTGATCTAAGGGGTGAATAGGTTAACTAATTTTTGAAATTAACTGAATTAACAACTATTCAAAAATTATACTGCCAAACTACGAGGCAATCCACTCAGTCCATCGTATAACTAAACACACAAGCAATTAATATATCATGTAAAAGAAATAAATTAGAAGCACACAAGACACATTATTTTTTTTTTTACACGAAAATCCCAAGGGAAAAACCCACGAGACCTAATATAGACATATAAATCCACTATAAGAAAGAGATTTACACTAAGTTAACAGTTCAAACCCCTCTCAAGTCTTATGCACAAGGTACGCTCCGTCAACAAATCTGCTCCTCACAAGATCTGTTTCTTCACAAGTACTTTGACCTTTGGTCCAATCGTCCAATCAATTATTCTGTAAGATTGCTCCTTGATTGATATAGAATCTAATGTATGTGCGACACTTGTTGATGATCAATACCGTATATGCATACTCACCAGCTTAGATGAATGATGAAGATCAAATAAACTAAAAAAAGTAACGGATTGCTAGAAAACACAATTTTTTTTGCTCCAAGTACGCTTGGAGATAATATATGACGCATGCCCAGGTTTTTTAAGCAGAGATATATTTATAGAGAAAATGAAGTCCTACAGCCTTTAGGGTTGAGATTTTTAATCAAAAAAGAAAACTTTGTTTCCATACAATTCGATCAAAAGCCATATAACCCTAATTGATGAATGAATGAACCTAACCTGTGAGTAGTGAATTCTGTTCCCCAAGTGATAATAAAAATAGGCAGAAATTACTGAATGAACTATTACCTTAATGGACACCTTGCTCTTAACTTGGGTTTCCAGAGCTTCAGTCATCGACTGAAATCCATACAACAATTTAAACAATAAGAAAATAAATAAATCATATATGCATATATATAGAGAGAGTTTTAATGCCATGTTTAAGGAGCTTTCAGTGTACCTTGTCGAACTGAACAAGAACTTGGATGGCAAGCTCAGGACTGAGAACTCCGTTTGAAACCATCTCGTCCAAAGTTTCGGTCAGGCACATCCCGATCGTCGATCTGCGGTACAACTCGAACGTTGCCATTCTTCTTCCTTACCGAGATCTGAAAAACTCATACGAATCAAAGCTCAGATAGCGCAAGGTATATCAAACCAAAACCACCATGAATTTATAAACAGTGAACAAATTTAACACATATATACACACATGTGTATATGCATATATATATATATATGTATATATATACAAATCAGTATGCAAGAGTATATGCATATATATACATATATATGTATATATATACAAATCAGTATGCAAGAGTATATGCATATATATACATACATACATACAAATCAGTGTGCAAGACATTTTCCAATAAAACGTTGAATCACGACTATGAATTCTCAAGAAATTGTATGAATTTATATACACATATATACAGAGAGAGAGAGAGTAATTCAAGTCGAAAGTACAATTGATGTGAGGAGGAGAAGAAACAGTGACCAGCGTTATCGCGTGCTCTTGAGCTCGAGAGCGCAGAAAGAGAGGGGAGGAAGATTGGGGCTTTTTATACCCTAGTTTTTGTAGCTGTGCCCTTATATAGGCGTGCGTTATATCATGGAAAAGATGAATGGACAGAATTGCCCTATATCTTTTCTTAAATTACAGTATTCCGTAGAGTTTTGAACCGCCAGCCTGCCGAACACTCGAGGGCAATGATGGAATTAAATTGGGCCTGGGCCTGTTTTATTTTTTCTTTCTTTTTTCGCAAACGGCCCATAAAAAACTCCAACCCTCAATCTCTTCTTTGTGGAAGAAGAGATCATTGTGATCCATTGGGCTACATCCCATGGTATTTGGGCCTAGCTTATAAAGATTATGTGGTTGCTTCATCGTGACTTGGATGTTCTCGATTCGAAATAAAAATTAGTCTCTTCATATATAAAGATAAAATTATGTAAGCGCAAATTTTTTTAGACTCTACAATAATGAAAGTCTCGTGCACTAACCTAACCCTTAATATTATGAAGAAATTCACAATTAATTGGCTAAAATTATTTAGTCATACACTGTTTCATTCAATGGGCCTTTGAGAGAACTTTAAAAAAAAATAAAAATGGGCGTTTGAGTGAGATTAGACCAAACACTCTCTAATTGGATAACAAATAAATGGTAGAAGTTGCATCTGACAAAATAAAGTTAATACAATTCGAGGCTAAAGATAATATATATATATATATAGTAAAAGAAAAACTTACATTGAACTAATAGTAACAATAACTGGATAGCTAAGAGACAAGTGAGAAATCAAAAAAAGACTACAAATAAAAGAAAAGGTGTGAAAATGTGGATGAACTTCCTATAGTCTTATGTGGTTCTATTTATTTTAATGTTAAATTTGATGGTATAAACCCCAAAAATAGAGAATTTTAGTTGGATTTCACAATTTAATAGTAGTAATAAACAATAAATTAAACTTATAAGTAGTGTAATAGCATCAATTTTTTTTTTTCCTTCAACAATGATGGTATATGACCTCTTAGAACATCTTGTAATTCATTACCCGACGCATGTAGTCTTCTCATTTAACATGTACCAAGCAATTACTAAAAAACTTTGAATGAATTTGAACTCTCGACCTAATATGTGAGATTAAAGCCACTAAACTATTTCTTTAAAATTCCACTTTAAAATTTTTTAGTGGGCCATTTTATTTATGACCACTTTAGTCTCTTACTTTTCAAAAGGAGGTCAGGGGTTTAAATCACAGAAGAGACATGTGTGTGTGAGCACTAACTAGAAGAAAAAAATATATATATATATATATATATATATATATATTTATTTATTTTAATTCTAGTTTCAAGATAGTTATATGCTGCTAAATCTTAAGAGTTTCATAGATTACTTAGGAGAAATTATCTTTGTTGTGTCATTTGTGTGGATTTATTTATTTATTTATTTATTCTCAAACACGAACATATCCGTTTAGAGATCTGAGCACCCTACCGATTAATTCATTAGGTAAGGCCCGTTTTCTCTTTTCTTTATGAGAGGAATTTTTCAAAATTTTCAAATTTAGAATTTCTCTGGCTTTATAGGATAAGGGGAATAACTCAACCCATGGTGAATACCATATATATATACTTATAGTTCTAACTTATAAACCATATATGGTCACTATATATTAGAATATACTCTGTGTGTGTGTATATATATATATATATATATATATATATATTATACACATTGGAACCAAAAAACCCCCAAATTAGAAACAAGCCTGCAAGCACCAAATTGATAAGATTGGGGCTAATTTTATTTGTCCTATTGAGATGCTCAAGGATTTATTTAAAAAAAAAGAAAGTTGAAAATTTTGTTGTGATTTTCCTCTCCGCAAGGTTGGATTAGCTTTTGAGAGTGTAACCAGAAAAAGAGAAAAGAAAAAAGAATTGGGTGTGTTTGTGATCATATATACATATACATATATATATACACACACACACACACACACAAACACATGCCAAATTCTTTTAACTTCCCTTTTCTAAATCAAATCCTTTTTTCTTCTTTACAATAACCCGATTGTAATCTCACACATATAGATAATTAATACACAAATATACATACACCAATGAGGTTTTCGACCCGAGTAAGGATGCTTAGGGTTTGTTTACACTCGATTATGATTGGGATGGGAGCTGTTTGGCGCCAAACCATTGCTTGAACATATTTGGTTCCAGAAATTGGTGTTGGGATTGTTTGCTTAATAAGATCTGGAAAAAAATCGTCTCCATTCGCATCTCACTGGAACCTGTCCAGTGCTGGGCCCTCGGCTGATGTGGCAAAGGTGGTAAAATGGGTAGTTACTGTAGTTTTGCTTATACCATTTCTGTACATACTTGTTTTTAATACTTCTACCCTTTGTGTACCCTTTCCCTTTCTGTACCATTTCTTTACATAATACGAAGTACCTGTATTTGATTTTCAAGTTAAAATTCCCCCCAAAACCAAAATTAAGCTTGCCTCCAAAACTGATACTGATATATATATAAACAGATATATGCCTCTGCTCTGTAAACTCAACAACTCTCTTTTCAAACATCCAAACTGAACTCCAAGGGAAAGGGAAACCGAGAAAGAAGGCAACCAAGACATTCGACACATAAAGATAAAGATTTTTGAAGAGAAGGTCCCTGTTTAGAAGCTCCATTCGGAAAAATCACTATACATTCCGGCGAGAAGCTGAAGTTCCGATCATCCCTTCTAACGAGAAGCTGAAGCTGCGATCATCCATTCCGGCAAGAAGGTGAAGGTCCGATCATCCATTCCGTTGAGAAGCTGAAGCACCGATCAACCAATCCGGCGAGAAGCTGAAGCTCTGATTATTATAAGTATTAGGTTATTTTTTTGAATTTCTTGTAACTTTATTCATAATGATATATCGAATCCGGTGGTGATTATTGGTAATCCAAAAATTTGAAGGCTGGGTTATTAGTCCTGATGAGCATGAATTCATCTTATTTTTAGGTAACCTGAGAATTGGGAAGCTTGTTCTTGTGCGTATTTTATGTTCCTATTTATTTGTTTTAGCTTTGTTCTCTATTTCTGAATAAACCCTATTAATCATCAGTGAACAAAAAAAATTTATGATTGTAGATGCATATACCAGATTTTGAAGGTTGTTCTTGTACCTATGATATGTCCATATTTATCTGTGTGAAATAACTTTATTTGTGAATAAACTCTATTAGTCATCAGTTATAATAAAAGTTTAGGATTGTATATGCAAATACCATTTTGAAGCTGTGCCAATGTTATGTCCATATTTATCTGTTTTAGCCTTGTTTAATCCTAAACTATATTACTTTTCAATTTGAATATAATTGTAGAATAGTTTTTGTATGTCCCGAATATTGAAAGATGTGATGTTGTATTTATGAAAGTGTTTACATATGTTATAGAAAAGTTGTGCTGTGAAAGTCAAAATATGTATTGTACTAATTGTTTTCATATAAAGTGTACAGTTGAAGTATGTTAGATGTATTTGATCTGCCAACAAATGCTACATGTTATAAAACGGTTGCATTAATGGTAATGCATTATAGTAGTGTAGAATTCAATTATATGTGCATATGTTTGGTTTGCCACCAATTGTGTTCATATCTAGTATACAGTTGCCGTATTTGAGATGTATTTCATCTGTTAACATATGGCATATGTTAGGAAATTGTTGCATGAATGGTAAGGCATTATAATAGTGTAGAAGTAAATTTTATGTGGATATGTTAGGTGAAAGATGTGATATTACATTTATAAAATTGTTGACATATGTTATAAAAAAATTGTGCTGTGAAGGTAAAATTATGTGACGATGGCCGCTCGGGAACGCCAAAATTGATGTAGTGAATGTGCGGTTCAAGAAAAGCCTTTTGGGTCAAGTTTAAATTTATAAAAACCACTACCAACGCTACTATTAAAGTAGCAAGAGTGAGTAGGGATCGTCCCAAGGGATTATACGTGTTGGAATTTAACTTCAACTCTAATGTACCAAATGATTGCAAAGAGAGATTGATTGTTTGATTACACTAAAATTCAATTAATTAAAATGCAATTAAAATAAACTAATGAGAGATAGGGATTTAAGATATGCGAAGAGAGGACTTAGGGTGTTGGAATCACCACTAAGCTCATGTAATTAACCACTTGCTTTCCATTAATGGGGAATACATTGTTGTGAACAAAATGCGACTACCAATTGCAATATTAAGTACGGACCATCTAGTTTAAGCATGAATTGTCTTACCTAAACTAATTATAGCACAACCCATCTAGTTTAAGCATGAATCATCTAGGTAGCAACAATTGTAGCGCACATCAATCTAGAGAATCATGGAATTTGCAATAATAAGCCATGGAATATCTAAGCAATCATAGATTGTCTACCTACCTACAAGCATGAATTAAATTGTAGAACAACCCATCAAGCATAAGTATAAACCATCTAATTAATTGACAAACCCATTCAATGAAAACCCATGCTTAACCATCACTAAATCCTTAATTAATCACACATAGACATGCAACCAACATAGAGAATCTAGTATAGAGATCAATTCCCCAAATAATCACACATAAGACAACATATAATTAAAATAGAGAATCAATAGAAAGAATTAATCCATATGAATCATGTAAGAAATAATTCCTAATTTAATAACACATAGACATGTAAACAAACTAGAGAATTAATAGGAAGAATTAAACCATAAAAATCATAGAAATATACCAAGATTTATAAAATTCATAAGGCTAGAATACTAATCACAACAATATATATATATAAATCCCCAAAAATAGAAATACAAGGGTTTAGATTACACAAGACTTAGGGTTCATCCAAGCCCTAAGTGTAAATCTAGCCAATCATGGAGGAGGTAGATGTGGTCATGGAATCAAGCTCCAAATATGGCTCCATCTTCTTCTTCCTCTTCTTCTTCTTCTTCTTCTTTGAAGCTCTAGAGATGGAGAGATAGAGTGGTCTAGAGATGGATCTTGAGATGTGCCTCCACTTCTCTCTTTTCTTCTAACCCTAATCTCTAACTTTGCTAGAGAGAGAAATAAAAAATATAATGTAAAAAATAAAAAGATAAAAAAAGCTTCTTTACAAAATGGGTCACTTCCCTTTATAAAGAAGGTCATTTTTTTAGTCATTAAATCAGGAATATAGGCCCAAAAATATCTAATCCCGTACTATGTGATAGATGGACTTTTGGGCGCGCACGGAATAAGACAGCTCGCTGCTAGCAATGTTCGATCGATCAGAGAAAAAGTTGGATCGATCAGAGAAGTTGGATCGATCAGAGAAAAAGTTGGATCGATCCAACTTGGCAGTTTTTCAGCATTGTCCTCATTTTGCTCAAAATCAGCCTCTTTTTGCTCCGAATCATCACTAAGACTTAGTTTGACTCCAAAAAGGCCTTAAGAATCCATTTTTAGCCCATTTTAACATTATTGACCTGAAATAGACAAAAACACAAATAAGTACTAAAATGGGTAAATAAGATAGATAAAGGTCCTAGAATACTCAATCTTAAGGGGTTTAAAAGTATACTTTTCAGCACTCATCATTATGTTTACCAGTAATTGTTTGCATATCTAATTTAAACTTGAATTATATTAGATGTATTTGTTATGACAACATATGTCACATGTTAGAAAAAAGTTGCATTAATGGTAATACATTATAGTAGTGTCAAAGTAAATTTTTAATGGATATGTTAGGTCAAATATGTGATGTTGTATTTATGAACTTGTTGACATATTGTGATGACCTTGTGGGCGGGTGTGCCGTGGGCGGGTGCGAGAGAAACTGTCAAGCTACCACACTGGCAAGCTACGGGTGCACAGTCCCACATTGCCTGGGTAGAGGAAAGGTGAAGTGTTTATATTTAAGTGTGTTACTCCAATTGGTATGAGGCCTTTTGGGGTGAAGCCCAAGAGTAAAACCGTGCGAGCTCAGGCCCAAAGCGGACAATATCATATCATATGATGGAGTGGGTTGTTACTAATGGTATCAGAGCCTGACCCAGTCGGAAGTGTGCCGACGGGGACGTCGGGCCTCCAAGGGGGGTGGATTGTGATGACCTTGTGGGCGGGTGTGCCGTGGGCGGGTGCAAGAGACACTGTCAGGCTACCACACTGGCGAGCTACGGGTGCACAAGTCCCACATCGCCTGGGTAGAGGAAAGGTGACGTGCTTATATGTAAGTGCATCATCTCCAATTGGTATGAGGCCTTTTGGGGTGAAGCCCAAGAGCAAAACCGTGCGGGCTCAGGTCTAAAGCGGACAATATTATACAATGTGATAGAGTGGGTCGTTACAAATGGTATCAGAGCCTGACCCAGCCGGAAGTGTGCCGACAGGGACGTCGGGCCTCCAAGGGGGGTGGATTGTGATGACCTTGTGAGTGGGTGTGCCGTGGGCGGGTGCGAGAGACACTGTCAGGCTACCACACTGGCGAGCTACGGGTACATAGTCCCACATCGCCTTGGTAGAGGAAAGGTGAAGTGTTTATATGTAAGTGTGTCACTCCAATTGGTATGAGGCCTTTTGGGGTAAAGCCCAAGAGCAAAACCGTTCGGGCTCAGGCCCAAAGCGGACAATATCATATCATGTGATGGAGTGGGTCGTTACAAATTATTGTGATGACCTTGTCAGCGGGTGTGCCGTGGGCGAGTGCGAGAGACACTGTCAGGCTACCACACTGGCGAGCTACGGGTGCACAGTCCCACATCGCCTGAGTAGAGGAAAGGTAAAGTGCTTATATGTAAGTGTGTCACCTCCAATTGGTATGAGGCCTTTTGGGATGAAGCGCAAGAGCAAAACCGTGCGGGCTCAAGCCCAAAGCGGACAATATCATACCATATGGTGAAGTGGGTCGTTACAAATGGTATCAGAGTCTGACCCAACCGGAAGTGTGCTGACGGGGACGTCGGGCCTCCAAGGGGGGTGGATTGTGATGAACTTGTGGGCGGGTGTGCCGTGGGCCGGTGCGAGAGACACTGTCAAACTACCACACTAGCGAGTTACGGGTGCACAGTCCCACATCGCCTGGGTAGAGGAAAGGTGAAGTGCTTATATGTAAGTGTGTCACCTCCAATTGGTATGAGGCCTTTTGGGGTGAAGCTCAAGAGCAAAACCGTGCGGGCTCAGGCTTAAAGCGGATAATATCATACCATGTGGTGAAGCGGGTCGTTACACATATGTTATATAAAAGTTGTGGTGAGAAAATCAAATTATGTTTGACACCAATTGTTTTGATATTTAATGTATAGTTGAAGTTTGTTATATGAATTTGATTTATTAACATATGGCACATGTTAGAAAATGGATGCATGAATGGTAAAGCATTATAGTAGTGTAGAAGTAAATTTTATGTGAATATGTTAGGTGAAAGATGTGATGTTGTATTTATGAAACTGTTGGCATATATTATAAAAAAGTTGTGATGCGAAGGCCAAATTATATTTGCTACCAATTGTTTGCATATCTAATTTAAGCTTGAATTATGTTAGATGTATTTGTTATGCCAACATATGTCACATGTTAGAAAAAAGTTCCATTAATTGTAATTCATTATAGTAGTGTAGAAGTAAATTTTAATGGATATATTAGGTGAAATATGTGATATTGTATTTATGAACTTGTTGACATATGTTATATAAAAGTTGTGGTGAGAAAGTCAAATTATGTTTGACACTAATTGTTTTGATATCTAATGTACTGTTGAAATTTGTTATATAAATTTGATCTGTTAACATATGTCACATGTTAGAAAATGGTTGCGTGAATGGTAAAACATTATAGTAGTGTAAAAGTAAATTTTATGTGAATATGTTAGGTGAAAGATGTGATATTGTATTTATGAAACTGTTGGCATATGTTATAAAAAAATTGTGATGTGAAGGTCAAATTATATTTACTACCAATTATTTGCATATCTAGTTTAAGCTTGAGTTATGTTAAATGTATTTGTTATGGCAACATATGCCACATGTTAGAAAAAAGTTCCACTACTTGTAATTCATTATAGTAGTATAGAAGTAAATTTTTAATGGATATATTAGGTGAAATATATGATATTGTATTTATGAACTTTTTAACATATGTTATATAAAAGTTGTGGTGAAAAAGTCAAATTATGTTTGACACCAATTGTTTTGATATTTAATATACAGTTGAAGTTTGCTATATGAATTTGATCGATTAACATATGACACATGTTAGAAAATGGTTGCATGAATGGTAAAGCATTATAATAGTGTAAAAGTAAATTTTATGTAAATTTGTTTGGTGAAAGATATGATGTTGTATTTATGAAACTATTGACATATATTATAAAAAAGTTGTGATGTGAATGTCAAATTGTGTTTGTCACCAATTGTTTGCATATCTAATTTAAGTTTGAATTATGTTAGATGCATTTGTTATGGCAACATATGCCACATGCTAGAAAAAAGTTTCATTAATGGTAATTCATTATACTAGTGTAGAAATAAATTTTTAATGAATATGTTAGGTCAAATATGTGATGTTGTATTTATGAACTTGTTGACATATGTTGTAAAAAAGTTGTGGTGAGAAACTGAAATTATGTTTGACACTAATTGTTTTGATATCTAATGTACAGTTGAAATTTGTTATATGTATTTGATATAACAATATATGCAACCTGCTAGAAAATTAATGCATGAATGGTAATACATTATAGTAGCGTAATAGTAGATTTGATGTGAATATGTTAGGTGAAATATGTGATGTTATATTTATGAAACTGACGACATATGTTATAAAAAGGTTGTACTGTAAATGTAAAATTATATTTGCCACCAATGGTTTTCATATCTTGTGTATACTTGAATTATGTTAAATTTATTTGTTATGGCAACATATACAACATGTTACAAAGTTCTTGGTTGAATGTTAATGCATTATAGTAGTGAATGTAAAATTATATTTGCCACCAATTATTTGCATATTTAGTGTACACTTGAATTGTGTTAGATTTATTTGTTATGGAAACATATGCCACATGTTACAAAGTTTTTGTTTCAATGTTAATGCATTATAATAGTGTATAATTAAATTTTCAGTGTATATGTTAGGTGAAAGATGTGATATTGTATTTATGTATTTTACAGTAGCGTACAATTGTAGTATGCTACATGTATTTGTTATGGCACATGTTAGAAAATGGATGCATGAATAGTAATGCATTATAGTAGTGTAGAAGTAAATTTGATGTGTATTTGTTAGGTGAAATGTGTGATATTGTATTTATGAAATGGCTGACATATGTTATACAAAAGTTGTGCTGTCAAAGTAATTTTATGTTTGTCACCAATTGTTTGCATATCTAGTGTACAGTTGAAACATGTTAGATATATTTGTGATGGAAACATATGGTACATATTAAAAAGTTGTTGCATGAATGGTAATACATGATAGTAGTGTAGAAGTAAATTTTATATAGATATGTTAGGTGAAAGATGTGATATTGTATTTATGAAAGCTTTGACATATGTCATATAAATGTTGTGCTGTTAAGATATACTCACTTTTTTGTCATATTTTTGTAGGTCTGCTATTATGGTTATGGCTATTGAAGAGACAGATAGCGATTCAGTTTGCAAAATTCCTGAAGTAGAATGGATACCCTGCGTTGACATGCTGTTTGATTTCGAAGAAGCGGCTTATGATTTTTACAATGAATATGGTAGGAGAGTGGGTTTTAGTATTCGGAGAGAGTACAAAAACAATAGTCGGAAGGATGGAAAAGTAACATCTAGAAATTTTGTGTGTAGCAAGGAGGGAAAAAGAGGTAAGGACAAGAGGGACAGGAAAACAAAGAATCGATGGGCTGAAACACACACCAATTGTCGTGCACGCATGCTTATTGCCTTTAATGTGAAATTTGGTAAGTACATTGTCAAAGATTTTAAAGATACTCACAACCATCCCCTCATCAATGAGGATTGTGCCCACATGATGTCGTCGCAGCGATTGTTTTTTATTTTTAAATTTAGGGGTTCAAATTCCACTAATTTTCATGGAATTTGAGTACACTATATTGTGGGTTTCAAATCCTATGAAATCCAATTTCATTTTAAATTTTATTCATTCCAAACACTAGAAATTATAGTATATTCTGAATTTCAAATCTCACCAAATCACGGCATTCCAAACATACTACCTCTTTATTTAAGATATTTTGTCACTACTCAAAGTCAACAGTACTTAATAAGAGCTCGACAAGAACTTTTGGCATCACATCATGGGACTAAAATAATCCCCTTGTACAAAATAGTATCGTATCCGTCTAGTCAGCGATGTACCTTACAAAAATATTGTGATATTCAGTCCCACATCACAACGTACATCTGTAAACTATAATTATTCGTGTTAAACCATTCATCACAAATAAACATGAATCCCATGATCTTAGAACTTCATGATTTTCACATATCTATAATGCATAAATAAATAGTTAGATATAAATACCTCGATTCATGATATCAAACCTTGTTGAGATTAAATCCAACTTCTAGATCCTTTAATCACGAACTAATCTGCAACTCTGATCAACAGGCAAAGGTGGAAACTGGTTTCTCTCTCTTGGCCTTTTGTACATATAAAACTTTTACGTGTTGTTTATCATTAATTGTACATAATTGATGGAGTATATGCACTTTTATAAAGGCAGAGAGAGGACCAGTTTTCTTTATAGTAATATAATTCTACTTTCCATCAAAGTAAGGAATAAGAAAGGAAAACACTTCTCCAATAAGTAATTACCAAAAAATAAATAATATTAATTGATATCTATTTACTTACCTACCAAGTAATATGTTACATGTCCAAATCATGTGGGCCACAATTAAATAAATAATCTTACATTCTCCTACTTGGCACATATGATAATTTCTGTAGTGGTTTAGTACAATAGTCATTAATATGCATCATAAATCAGATTAACTTATTAAATTAGTCATCATAAATACCATGGTAAATAAATTACCAATGTGAGTCATGGCAATTATATATCGTTAAATGACACAGTCCCTTCCATGTACCACAACACTAGTAATCTATTCAACATAGTCTATAAATGAGAAGTATCAATAATGATCTAACAATAATGTCTTTTCCAAGACTATTCCTATTACCACTTATTAAAGCAATACGTGCATGTACATTAATTAATAGGAAAGCGCAAAATGTCAAATATATATAAGCACTATTTAAGCAATCCACAATTAAAAAATAATCATCATTGACTACATTTAAGACCCATTCTTTCAACATGTTCCATAAATGTCTTGAATGGTAGTCCATTCATTAATGGATTGCAATCATAAGTTGTATGCTTATAATTTCAATAGACATTTGTTGTTTCTAAATATCTTCTTTAATGATAAACTATTTCAGCTTTAAAATACCTATCATTTTTCATACAAGAAGATCAACAATTGCAGCATAAATTTTCAGCAATCTGAAAACGGTACCCATAACTCCAAGTCCTGAAATAAATTCTACAATCATAAATTATAGCCTCAAAGCATGCTACAAATTAAAATTTCATAATAGACAAAGTAATCATAAATTACTTTGCACTTTTTCATAATATTGTTCCTCCTACCAAATCTTCTAGAACTCTTTTAATATATGCTTTATGAGACAATTCTAAAAACAAACCAATTTGATCTATAATGAAATATTTCTATTCCTATCACATAGGATGCCTCATCCATATATTTTGTTTCAAAGTTCTTAGAGATAACTTTTAGTTTCATATAATGAACTAAGATCACTACTAACAAATTAAAAAATAATCAATATATAGAATCAAAAATATAAACTTACTCCCACTAACCTTCTAGTATATACACTGATCAACAGTGTTTTTCTTAAAACCAAAAGAAATAATGGTATCATTAAATTTAATATACCATTGTTAGGAAGCTTGTTTAAATCCATATATTGACATCTTAAATTTACGAACCATGAATTCTTTACCTTCTAATATGAAGTCTTCAAGTTGTTCCATATGGACTTCTTCTTATAAACTCTTATTCATAAAAATTGTATTAACATCCATTTGATGTAACTCTAAATCATAATAAGCTACTAATGCCATGATATTTTAAAAGATTCCTTCTTAAATACTAGAGAGAAGATTTCTTTATAATCTCTTCATTCATGACACTAATCCATTTAGTAAAATCATTACTGTTAATGGCTTGTGAATATGTAACCGGATCCATATATATCTCACTATATATCAAAAACAGATTCTTGCAGATATATCACATAGTCATCCGGAATAGCAGATTTCCTTTCTCTTTGAGATCGTCTTAATGTTATTCCTTATAATTCTTCTACAATTTATTCATTGGTGACAATCTCACTATAGAGTTATTGATCATTTAATTGTTCTTCGTTGTTATACAGTTCAACAACTAAAGGAGCAATTATTTCCTTATAAGTTATGGGTAAAGATATTTGTACCCTAACTTTTGAAATGATCAAATTCTTATTTTTATCACTCCCACTGATTTAACCATTCTTAATGAATCTGACATTATCGGTTTCAATAATTATCGTACTATGTTTCGGATAGTAAAACTTGTATCCTTTAGATTACTTAATATCCACAACATTATGGGTAACGAGGAATTACTTAACATACTCCTAACCAATTCCATAAGAGTACGATTACGCCTTACAGTTACATGCTTCTGCTGTGGCATGTATAACAAAGTGTATTGAACACAAATGGCATACATTTCAAGGAGTTTAACAAACGGTTAGAGTATTAACCTATTTCATCATACTTTACATAATATTCACCACCTCTATATGACCTTATGATTTTAACTTTCTATCTAGTTATTTTTCAACCTCATTTATGTATACTTCAAGAGTACCCACTGCTTGAGATTTTTCATACAACAAATAGATATATCCACAATATGAAAAATTAACTATAAAGGCGATAAAATACTTTTCTCCTCAAAAAGATGGAACATCAGAAGGTCTACAAATAATTTCAAGAAGCTATGTACTTATTGTAGCTCATTTCTTTGTGCGTTTAGTTTGTCTACCCTTAATACAATCTACACACACATCAAAATCAGTAAAGTTTAGATTCAGAAGAATCACATCCTTTACTAATTTTCCTAACCTTTCACTAGATATTGACCTAGTCTTTTATGGCAAAGATAAATTTTCTATTAATTGAGCTACGCTTAATTCTAACATTATGATACAAGATCAAAAGGATTTTAATAAATAAACCATCAAATTTGAATTTACAGAAACCATCAACAATAATACCATAACTCACAAATTATAATTTCTTAAATAAATATCATTACCAAATTTAAATGAAAAACCATTAACATAAAGTTTTTTGAAATAAAATCAAATTATGGGAAATTGAATAAACATAAATTTTTTAAAATAATTTAAATAAAATCCATTGTCTAACATTAAACATAGTGTTACAATGGTTTCAACAAAACTTTTTCCCAATTATCATAAATAAGAAATTCTTATTTGAATTTATGGTTTAGACCATAAAAAATTCTTGCATTTATTAGAAACATAAATATTAGTACTTAAGTCAACCTATCATGTATTAAAAAGAATTTCAACAAGTAATTCGCAATATACAAAAGCTAAAAGCGTACTTTTCTTTTTCGAATCATTCTTTATATGTCATGTAATCTTTCTAAAAGTGTTCAATACATTAATGACACTTTTTCATTATTACATTACTTTCTTTTAGTAGATTGACCTAAATCATTTAATTTTGAGTGTTGCTCACTTATTGCCTTTTCTGACTTATTCCCAAATTTCTTTCTAACTTCTTGAGTCATCAGATGAACATAATGATTACCTTACTACTTAAGTTTTGTCTCCTCATAAATTAACATAATGGTCAATTAAATCACTTTCCACTTGTCTTAATAGTGTTAATTCGAAATGACCCATACTAAATAGACAAGAAATTGAGAATAAATTGAATAAGAAAATTCCCATTCACAATCATCCATAAGGTTCTCAATTTTGCAGCAACATTAGTCATCTAAAAATACGATCATACATGGTACGGGTACCAACAAAAAATTCATAGTAGTTATATCAATTAATAATTTTCATTTTTGATATTTATCTACAACACGAAAATATTCTTATAATCAAATATTCCTTAGCACTATCACTATGAGGAACAATTATTCGCATAACCATAATACTTAATCTGTTCGATCTTTCTCAAGCTTTGTGGAGAATCTTTTCTTCCTCACTGTCTTTATCAGTAATAACAGTAGGTTTCTCAATTTAAAATGCTAAATCAAGATTTAACACATCTAAATTTTGAACTCAACTTACTCATTTCATTATGAGAAGTTAGTCATATTGAGAATCAGAACAGATGTAGCATGCGCATTAAGGGATGTAATAAAACAAACATAATAAGATAAAATCTTAACAACAATAATGCTTTGAGTTAATAACACATGTGTATAATTTAAAAATATAAATACAATGTATAACTATAGTACCCCTTTGGGTGACAACTATAAAATACTAATAATGATGCTTATATGTATTTATACGTATACCTTTATTGGTGATGCATTATTTAATTAAACAAATAAGTTACCTTTGGATATCCTATATTTACCTAATAAAAAAAAAATACATACGACCTTTTAATTTTTATTTAATCACTTGAAAATCAATTCCCTTTGAGGAATTATTTCTCATAATTAAATAAAATCAATATTCATGAATATCACAAAAAATTATAAGCATCATAATTCATGAAATATTGCAATTATGTTTACTACTAAAATTAATATTCATCAACTATTATGGTTAGGCCACTTTGGTAGGTACCAACCTTTATATAATATGAATATTAAATTAGATAGTAACTAATTTATGATTAATTATGTCTATTACAAAAATTAATATTCATCAATCATTATGATTGAGCCACTTTAGTAGCTACCAATCTTCACATAATATGAATATTAAATTAGACAGTAATTAATTCATCATTAAGTTATATTTACTACTAAAATTAATATTTATCGACCATTATGGTTAAGCCACTTTGGTAGCTACTAACTCACACATAATATGAATATTAAATTAACTAGTAATTAATTAATTATTAATTTACCCATTTAACATTATACACACATACTCATAATTGTCGATTAAAGTTTAAGCAACTTCGATCTCAAAAACTTAATAGTCCGAAATTTCATAGAAAATATCTTTTTATTTTATATACATAATAAAATATATTAGTTTATTTTCGGACTTAAAGATCATAATTGAATCAATTTAAAATTGATTCTACAATATGTATGTATGTTTGGGTATGAAACAATAAGTTATTTACATGTCTAATTTATTAGATTAAATTTCTAAACTCACAAATTATTCTGGAAATTCAAATTTCTAAAATAAATAAATCAATACATATATTTTATGTATTCAATAACTTTAATTTTAATTTATTTTAAATTAAAATCAGAATCTTCAAATCATTGGACAAATACTTATAACAATAATTTAAACCTCTTTAATAAAATAAATAAATACACATACTTTATGTATTTATTAATTTTTAAATAATAATAATAATGAGTCTTTGTAATCATTTCACAACTTACTGTTTCTATAAAACAATAGCAAGACAAATGCTATTATTATTATTATTATTATTTTTTAATTCAATGTTCTTTATTAGTCATGCACGAAAATCAGTAACCTAAAGCATTGAAATTATTTGTCTTACACACATTATGCATACGTTTGTACTATTACATATATGTAAACTATGTATCAGTAATCAACATTCATAATTCAATTTTGGCTCGGAAATTGAGGTACTTAAACCCAAAAACCACACGGACTGATCTAAACATACGATTCTAAAAGAATGGATTATACAATCATTTAATTTTAAAATTATACATATTATTTATGCAACTTTAATGAAAAATAATGAGTTCCTAAACCGTTAGCTCTAATACCACATGTAAACTATAATTATTGGTGTTAAACCATTCATCACAAATAAACATGAATCCCATAATCTTAGAACTTCATGATTTTCACATATCTATAATGCATAAATAAATAGTTAGATATAAATATCTCAATTCATGATATCAAACCTTGTTGAGATTAAATCCAACTTCTAGATCCTTTAACCACGAACTAATCTGCAACTCTAATCAACAGGCAAAGGTGGAAACTGGTTTTTCTCTCTTGGCCTTTTGTACACATAAAACTTTTACGTGTTGTTTATCATTAATTGTACGTAATTGATGGAGTATATGCACTTTTATAAAGGCAGAGAGAGGACCAGTTTTCCTTATAGTAATATAATTTTACTTTCCATCAAAGTAAGGAATAAGAAAGGAAAACACTTCTCCAATAAGTAATTACCAAAAAATAAATAATATTAATTGATATCTATTTACCTACCCACCAAGTAATATGTCACATGTCCAAATCATGTGGGCCACAATTAAATAAATAATCTTACAACATCACTAACAGAAGAAAACTTGACTATTGTTCCCTAGGAGAGGATTTAGATCCCACATTATGGTGTGTCACACAGGTCGATATTAGTCCTAAATTGGCAACAGAATTTTCAAGCAACACTTGTTTACATCTTGGAACAACTGAACACAATGAGAGAAGTTCTCTGATGATAGGTAGAAGTTTACAAATCCAGAATGGAGAAAATACACACCATATTTAATAATGAAAATGTCAGAAACAAACTTTCAAATGTATGAGAAAACATTATACTATATTGCATCGACTCTACAGGAAAAACATTCCAAGCCGACTGTATGGTAATTTCTGTCTGAAGTTTCAACAAAAACGAATTCAAACCGACCTTCCGCAATCAGAACTTGAGGGAGCTTCTAAACGAATATAGTCATAAAGGATTCCCTGGAAAGGACTCTGGTTCCTTGGTTGTGTCAAGTATAAGATGTTGTCTCCTTGACGGAGTTGAGTGCTCGGCACATCCACATTGTACAGCCAATAGAGCCCATGAACGCCATGCCTCGCAATTGAGTTGTCCCTCCCAAATAGTCCGCTAGTGAACAGAGGACGTTTCGTGTTTGGATCATTAAACCGAACCTATGATAAAAAAAAATTCAGTCAGTGTATGAAAATGGGCGTGGAAAATGAACATAATGATCAAACACAAAGCAGCATACCTGCATTTCCGCAAGAGTTGCAGATGCTACTGCCACACGCAAATTGTAGGTTCCATCCTTGGTGACATTGTCAAGTTTGAACTTGATCTGCCATGTGGTTCCTACATATGAATTGTCATCTTTTTTCCTGCAATGCAATAACACTTAGAAGACTTCTCGATCAACTGTCTGACTCTTACAACAATAAAGCCTATCATATCACCGAAACATTGTATTTTTTATTTTATTTATTAAAATAGCTTTATCACTCGTAAGGCCAAGAGAATTTTTTTTAAAAGGTAGGCCAGTTTGTCTTGCTCACTTTTTCTTCACTAATGTGCGTTGTGCTGAAGTGGCCGAAGCTCTTACACTAAGAGAAGGTATAATCTTGGTCCGGCTTTGGGGATATATCAATATTGTGGAGGCCTATCAAGCCTGAAATTCCTTCCATCATCTCAAGGACCTAATGGCTGAACTAGCCTATCCGAGTAAATAACTCTTTTGTAGCTTACGTTCTCTCTTTTACTGATTCTTTCTTTCGCTAAAAGTACAATAGTGAACCTCGATTCATTATCTGTTGATTGGACCTACAAACAGTTCAGTCTATCTTCAACTGTATGTGATGATAGTCATTTGTAAGACACATATGTTGTTGTTTAAGGAAGTTGCACAAAATATAAAGTAAAAGACGTGTTGTTGTTTAAGGAAGTTGCACAAAATATAAAGTAATCCTAAGCTGTAATTTAGATTTTTATTAGTGTGTTCTTCAAAAGTGAGACGTCTTTTATGATCCTGTTCTAGAGATTGAAAAGGATATATACATATGCTAACCTAGCTTAAAGAAAATTCTATTAAAAAAAAATGACATTTACATTGGAGGAAACTCATTTTGTTAGAATTGCACCTGGTAACCTGAGCAAAAAACCAATCTTTACGATAATCACTCTGGCCAATCGTGTAGACCAAGTCCCCATCTGGATATAACTCCGCATACCTGTCCCATAATCCATACTGCCTAAATCTGCCATTAGAAGAAATTAATAGGAGTTCGGGTTACAGGTTAAATAATCTTTGAGAAATCAACTTAAAAGAAATGTGCCTTTAAACACCATAACTGGACCTATGGAAAATGTGAAATAGGAAAGACAACATTCTACATGTGGTGCACAAAAAATGTTCACCCAAAAGATTATTTTGGAACTTCTTAGTGTGAAAATTTTCTACCAGAGTTTAATTTACAAAAATAAGGAAACTTAGTGGGGTGGGGTTGCATTTATTATATCAGATTCAATTCCATGGACAAATATACTTAACCAAAAAAGAAAAAAAGAAAAAAGAAAAAAAATCTATGGACAAATAACTCTTAGAATCACACTTGGAGAACTAACCTGTCAGGATGATTGACAAAAAGTTTGTTGATATACATTGGATTAGGATCAGGTACGTAGAATTCTGCAGCAGAACGATCGGGGATGCCAATTTCCCACAAGGTGGGCCCATTTCTCGGAGGCTCATACACAAGATCACCCATATTGATTTCAGAACCTGCATTGATGTTATTCAAACCATATATTTATTACCATGGAAATAATTTGGACAAAGGAAAGAGGGCTAATGATAAATTGTGAAAACAAGACCTGAGGTTATGGTAATGGCGACATCATATTTGTAATCTCCAATAAATCCAGGGACCCATGCATAAAGATTGTACTCGCCTATACGTACATTGTTGATAGAGAAATGGCCTTCCCCGTCTGCTCTGGTCCAAAATTGGTAATCCTGATGAAGTAATATGTAAAATTACTAACGTCTACTTTTGAGCAAGTTTTGAGAGTGTCATGCTTTTTAATTTAGTCAAGCAATTTAATGTTATTTTTCTGATGGACACGAGCAAATTCATGCTAGTATATTCTCAGAGAAGCGGATACAATTTAAATTTTAGGAGAAAATTCATCTGTTTTCTGAAACAAGGTAACACTCGAGAATCACATGATCAAGCTAAGATCATGCGTTATGCTCTTCATGGTTGTTAAATTCAAGTATTTATAAAGATTTTATATTTGAAGAAATCTAAAAGAGTAGTAAACAAAATCACCTTGCATTCTCTTTGCCATGATCCAACTTCACCTGGTGGGGCTAGCCCCACATAAGCACCGTTAGCTGATATATAATCAACATTGATATACCTACATGGGTAGTAGTTACAAAAAAAAAAAATGATCAAAATATACTGAAACACGGGGAAATTAAAGACTAATAAAAGATCTATTTAGAATTTTAACATGGAACCAAGAGAAGGTGAGAAGAAAGTAAGAAGTAGATTTATCACCTGTCTCGGACTAGTAATCTACCACTAACATTGCCCCGTTTATCCGATGATGGGAAATCATCAGATGCTGGAAAACTGTAGGGCCAGCTTTGGACTTCAACCATCATCTGAAAATCCATTTAACAATGCTTTACCACCAAAATATTCATTTTCTCACCCTTTCTAAATGACATGCATACATATACATATACAAATGTACATTGTTATGTAACATGTTATGCATTAAACCTGTCTTCTGGCATCCTCCCATAGTGCAAGCTGTGGATCCTCCCCATCCATCGCAGAATTAAGATAAATGAAAACCGGGCCAAAAACTTTCTTCCATGGCTCCCCCTGTCTAACTTTTGGCACCAGATCGTCCCCAGCATAATGACCACTGAGAAACATCTGATAATGCCAGTCATCCACAACATAATTAGAGACATCACCGGTGTCCAAAACAATTAATTTGTTGTACTCTATATTGAACATTTTTTTCATTGACCAACATTGTCGATTATTTTCATGACAAAGAGAGTCTAAGAACACAGTTAGATTTAATTAGATGGTACAAGTCACTTACCGCTAGGGTAGTGGGGCCCACATGGGAGGAGAGGTTCTGTTTCATGGGCCCGCCTGATCGAAACTCATCGCTGGGTGTGATTTGCCAGAACCCCACGGGTGGATCCATACATATCCAACCATGAACCCTCAGATCTTTGTTATCGCACGAGTACTGATACTTGTCATCCACCTGTGCAACACAGGATCATTCAAAACATTAAAGCTGATGATCCAAACAGATCCATAGCTCTCCCCTTACTTTCTCATCTAATTATTTTCCAAGTGTTAGCAGTTAACAACTCACATTCATCATTTTATGGGCACCATTTTATTAATCAACTATATAAAATTAGGCAGAAAAAAAGGTGGTCTAATGTATGACTACTGTTTTGATTTCATCATTTTATTAGTGTCACACGGACTTTACACTAGCGATGAATCTCCAAAACATAGTAAGAAAGTTTTTTATTGAAGATTTTTGGCTTATATAAACAAAATTAACGACTCAAACATAAAAACGTATGACTCATTTGATTTATACTTCTTCAAAGCAAAGTGACCATCTACTTGTTTTTAAATTTCAATAAAATCATGATACTATATTATTGTGAATAAAAATCTGTATGAAATTTTTTTCTTGTTTGTAAGCCAAACAGAACAAGTAGTGGCAGAATTACGTTACCTCTCCTTTTAGTTCGGGCTCCAAAGGATTGACAAGTAGAACTGCTTCTGGGTAGGCGAGAGGTTGGCCTCTTCCTGGTAACCGATCGTCAGGCAAAGGCATAAATCTTTTTCTATTATCTGCCACGGCCATGTAATGAAACCTATGCAATTCCACATACCATTCGCATTGTCAATTTTAATTTTTCCAATTTTTTAAAATTTTATTTAAGTACTGTGTCCATGACTAATCGATAAACAAAAAAAATGCATCTTCAGGCTAATTAATTTGGTTTCATTTACCAAACATATGCTCCAACTATTGACTAATGCTATTTTCTATCATTGACATTATATATGTGTGCGCTCATGTGTTCCTATATCCTAAAAGAATCACTGTGATTCATGAACCATAGTTAACAAATAAGAAGAAAAAAATTCACGGTCATACATAGATTTTGAACAACTTCAATTGACTATAATAATATGCAACAATAAGATCAAGGAAGAAACTTGTTTACTTCTCTTTTTGGAGCTTGAAAGTGATCCTCGTTTCACCAAGGCTAAAACCAGGCCATTCAGGTAAGTGTTCATAAATGGCATAGGAGTAGAAGCCCGAGACACCACGAAGCATTATAAACCTAGAAAATCGTCATTTTCGTTGATGAAAACAATAATATTATTAATAAAACTTCCTTGATATAACTATATATTATGATTAGAAAAAGAACCTTTTGTCTATATTCATGGGACACAGCTTGTCCTGGAAAGAGGGATCCCATGGCCTTGAAAACGAAACCTCCACCTGCTCCTCAGTTTCCACCATAGCCTCAAATATTGTTGTTTTAATCCTGCATAGTAATACTTAAAGGCCTGATTTATTCGGTTTAATACAAAAAGGGAAATGCTATTTATACAACATTTTTGGCTTTATCTACAATCTTTCCTCTCGCATATGTGGATCCACATATGTGAGCGGAGGGCTGTTTATACAACGTTTTGGTATGCCAAAGACAGTCCCTCTGTTTAAAAAAATGGGATGACAAGTGTTCATGTGTGTGTGCAAAAAATAGTCCCTCTCTTTACCAAATTGAGATAAAATAGATATTACAGAGACAAGTGTGTGTGTGTGTGTGTGTGAGAGAGAGAGAGAGAGAGAGAGAGAGAGAGAGAGGACATACACTTCAAAACCTCCTCCTTTCCCACCATCCAGTGCACCCCAAACAATGTCCCAGTATCTAAATATTACATTGGAAAACTAAGTCAAAACGTTAAGAATATAGCATGCCACAGCTTGCAAAACAAAAATTTATATACTGCAGCTTATTTCATATTTGTAGATACAGAAAATTAAGGTTCTGTTTCAATGCATCTATCTATACATATCCTTGCAAAAAATAAAAATAAAAACATAAATTTTTTTTTATAAAAATAATGAGGCTTTCGCACTTCATTTATTGTTGTTATTTTATGTCCTTGAAATAGCAGATTTAGGATTTTCTGGTTACATTACACATCAACCTTGGGAAATTTAAAAAGGAAAATAGATTGGAAGCAATTCTAATGCCAAATTACCCTCTATTAGTTTCAGCATTGAGAACCTCGAGCAAATTGTCGATGCCATGGTATCGTACTTCAGTGACAATTCCCTCCGGCTTTGATATAGTGACTTGAAGTATGCCATTGTCAATCACCACCTAAAAATACAATATTGTATTGATACGATCATAAAACACAAAGTATTGATAGAACAAAGTAGGATTCATTTTCTATGGGCATTAATCCAGATGGTATGATCTCTCCCCTCCGAAGAGGAGGTTGAAAATTTGAGCTTTGCTAGGAGCAATATTGTGGGTGTGCGTGCGTTTCCTTGAACTTTCGAGATAAAAACAAAAAAAAAAACAAAAATAGTAGGAATCACTATCACCTAGAAATACAATGTCATATTGATGTGATCAAAAAACACAAAGTATTGATAGAACAAAGTAGTATTCATTTTCTATGGGCATTAATCCAGATGGTATGATCTCTCCCCTCTAAAGGGGAGGTTGAGAATTCGAGCCTTGCTAGGGGCAATATTGTGGGTGTGTGCATGTGTGCTTGGACTTTCGAGTAAAAAAAAGACAAAAAAAGAAGTAGGGTTCACTACCACCTAGAAATACAATGTCATATTGATATGATCATAAAACACAAAGTATTAATAGAACAAAGTAGGATTCATTACCTGACCTCTTAAGAACTACACGATCTAATCATATAATACAGAGCATGATAATCAATGGAACAGAAAATAAAGCATGTTCATGAATACTGATAATCAAGATTTATTCAAACATATCATGTACAATATTTCAAGCTCACCAAAACATTAATTTGAAAGCCATTTCTATGCTACAATGGAAACACAGTAAATACACACACACACACACATATATAAGCAGTTTATTTACATGGTGATCTTCAATATGTAATTTCACCCCTAGATGAGGCATTGATCCAGGGCCTCTTTTATCTTCAGTAACTTCTGCACAATGAAAATCAGTCTTTGTTCTTAGAAAGCAGTGATTTCTGAATATGAAATAAAAAAATCCTAAAAAAAATATTAGCAGCTAAATTTTCTGAAAACCCATGATGAATTTGAGAAGAACATTAATGTTCATACATACATATATATATATATGTATGTATATGGATATGTTACCACTTTGCAATCTGGAGAGGGAATGGAAGTAAGATGGGTATTTATATGTTGTGCAGGGGCTGGGCTTTCCTTGAACTAGAGATAAAGCATTCTCTTTTTTTGACTTTATCTTTTGTGATCTCTTTACTTATGCGCCAACACTTTGGTGAATTTAAATATAGCTTGCAAGAGTCGCCATGTAGCCACATTTCATGAATTAATGATGGATAGATATATGCTTCATTAAATTATTTTTTGAATAATCCAAGTTTAAGATAATCCAAACACTGTCTTATGCAAAATGTTAAAAGGCCAATAGAAGCTCCAATGCTAAAAAGCAATTAGATTTCCCTATCATACTAATTTCAAGATTAATTACACATTTTACAATAATCTAAGTAGATATTGCTAATTTGCTAATTTAGTAACAATAGAGGAAAATAATAATTACAGAGATCTTATTCGAATTTATCTTTCTTATATTGTCAAATTAATGTTCAAATTCGAATTAAACTTAAATTATTCAACCACACATTCTCGAATTTCAACCGTACTAGTACATATTAAAATCAATTAAGTCACGTTTGATATAACCCGTGACTTGAACTGAAATTAGAGGAAAATTAGTTCAACTTCCCATTTCCCCTTAAACACAATATTAGAATAATTTGACAAATTTGTCATTATCATTTAAATCATATACTTTTAAAAGTGAAATCCAAATCACTAATGTGCATTATCTCATATGAGAAACCTCTTTCTCGTGGCTTGGAGAATTCAAATACCAACCACGCTGGCGTGGGTGGTACAAATTTTCAAGGGTGTAGTGAGAAATTGTTACGTGGGTGGTACAAATTTTCAAGGGTGCAGTGAGAAATTATTACATAGTCTAGAATTATTGGTATTGACCAATTGCATATTGGTATTGACATGAAAGTAAAAAGTTGAATAAATCTCACATAAAAGCTTATATGTTTCATAAAATTTTAAATGATCCGGACTATTGATCCTAGTCAATCACTAGTAAAAATGAAAGTAAAAAGTTAAAAAAAACTTACACAATTCGCATTCGTGATTGATCAAGACTAATGATTTAGGGATGACATAATAATTTCTTCAAATATTAAAAAATTGGGTGAGAAGAAGACAAAAGGATGAAAGAAGATTTAGAAGTCAAAGCAAGAAAGTGAAAGTTGAAATATTTGCACCATATATTAAAAAAAGAAAAAAGAAAATAAAAATAATAAAAGGAAAAAAAGAGAAAAAACTGAGAAATAAAGAGATAGTTACTTACCTTGTCTGAATTTTCCACAAGTGCACAAGCTTTTAATTAGGACTTTGAAATCACACCCTCCTGCCATACGTACACGTCACCAGTCACAAACTCCACATGACATATAGTAAGTAATACAATACAATCATGACCATAACAACCACTGTTGCCGTCCCACTTCACCGCCCCATCACCACCGCCACCCGCCGCCACTCTCCACCCACCCCCTCTCTTTCTGTACCTTTCTCTCTCTCTACGGTTCTCCTCAAATCCTGACCTAACATCTCCCTCTCCCTCTAAAATTGTGTTTTCAAGAAGGAAATAAACAAGATTTGTCTTGATGCACACAAACGGTTATCAACTGATAAAGGTTGAATCTGATGTTTGTGTCACTGTGTGTATATATAGAGAGAGAGAGAGGGGGGTTAGGTAAGAGAGGGGCCATTGTGGGTTTGACAGTTGGGAGTTTTTTAGTTACACATCTTCCAATTGAATAGGCCATCATAAATCTAGGCCTTTCATTTGAATCTCATCAATGAAGAGAGAAAACAAATTCAGTGAAATCACAATCTAATGGATTGTCCAGTCAGTCACTAAATTAGATTTTACATAAAATTAGCTTACTTGCCAATATTTTAGTGACTTTCATTGATTTTTTTTTTTTTTTTTTTCAATTTATTATTATTATTATTTTATTATCATTTTTTTAAAAAAACTTTCTAGGCTATATAAAGATTGTCAAAAAATGGACGTTTAATGTCTTTGTTTTTGGCACGTATTAAGTAATAAGATAATGACATAATTTGGTAGAGTAAAGAGTTAGCGGTGTTTTCGTACGAAATTCTCGAACTCTCTCTCCTTAATTTGTCAGAATAAATAAATAAAAAAATATATAATATTGTTAAAGAATACATCTAGTTACGACATCATTGTCTCATTACATGCATTGATTCTCACAAAATTGAAATTATAACTAACATAATCCCTAACGTAATTGATCGAAAAAATCAATGTCATGGAATATGTTTTTATATATTTGGAGTTTCTCTTTTAGGCTAAGTTTTGATTGGAAAGACATGAAAGGAAAAGGCCAAAAATTGAGGTATATAGTTTCTTGGTGTATGGTATACAACTTTAGAAGAAAAAGAAAGCCAATGAAATGATTAGGAGAGACGCCACTTAATGAGTTAATTTTGTTACCTTTCCAAAGATAGAAAAAAATAAAAGGAAAAATTAAGAACTTTATTAATACCACATTACTTCTTATTTTTATAAAAAATAAAAATTAGAGTAGTGCTATTATTAAAGCATTCTCGCAAAAAGTCTAGAAAACTCGTTTATAAGTCACACAATTTCTATTTTTAGGAATTCCGAAGAAACAATTAATTAAAAAAGAATCATTTGTAATTAAAGAAACAAATCAAGCTTTTTTCTCTCTCTTCTCTCCACGTTCTCTCTCTTGATTAACACCCTCAACCAATCTGTCTCTTTCTCTCTCTTGGTTAGCCTTCAAAGAATCGATTTCTTTCTCTTTCATAGTTAACACTTTGTCTTTCAATCAAAGAGTCTCTCAATTTGCATTCCATCCTTTCTCACTGACATACTAGGTACTTTTTTTATTTGTTTGCGTTTTTGAGCTTTGGAATAACCTCATCACAAAAATTTTACGTAGTTCTTTATTTTTTTTTGTTTTTCATGTTTTTGAGCTTTGAACTAAGAGAGAAAAATAGGCAAATTGGTTGAGAGTTAACCAAGAGAGAGAGAGAGAAAATGGAGAGGAGAGAAAAAGTTTGATTTGTTTCCTTCTTTGCAAATGATTCTTTTTTAATTAATTCTCTCTCCTAAATCCCTAAAAATAAAAATTATGTGGCTTATAAGCACAATAAATTTATTAAAATAATTACATTTCCTTTCTTTTCCTTACATGATTAAGTTAACATTAACTAATATTATTTTTTCTTTTCTTTTCCACCGTACCAAATGTCTTAAACTTGTCAAATTAGTTGAGTAACATGATTTGTTTAATAAATTATTAATTTTTATTCATAGTTATTAAATACACTTTTAACTCCATCTGCCGGTCCTCCTTTCTATATCGGTTCCAAAATTGCATTTTGCTACTATGCTATAAAATGGAAGACTACTCTATTTTGGTAAATGGTTCTTAAACTGAATTCTCAAATCAATTTGTAAGGCCTAAGAAGTCTTATCTATTTGATCCTATTTTTTAGCAAATACACTACACTTTTTCTTTTCTTTTTTAACAAAAAAGAAATTTAATAAATGACAAAAGTATTTTTAAGCTCAATATTCTTTTAATGGTAAAGTTGGAAACTATCATATAAACATGAGTAATGATACTTGCACCGATTTATTGCACCGAATGTTTCTGATTCATTATTTATGCATAATACATGTAAGTGAAGGATCCCACTTCTTTATTTATGCGATTTGTTGTAATAAATTATCAAACCTATTTATTTTAATCGGTCTATTTATGCATAAATAAAAAAGTGAAACCCTCCACTTACATGTATTATGCATAAATAACTAATCAGAAACATTTAATACAACAAATCGATACAAGTATCATTACTTTATAAACATTATCCTAATCAATACATCATTTGATATTCAAAATAATACTCACACATTTTACAAATTGCCAACTTCGAGCCTATAACAATATACAACATGTTGAGGAGACAAACTAACAAAACAATTAATTTATGATTCTCTTAATGCTATGTTTGGTGTGCAGGTGGGAATAGAATGAGAATGGGAATGGAATGACCATTCTCATTTTATTGTTTGGTTGTAAATATGAAATGTGTAAGAATGGAATAATAATAACCATTCTATTATTTGGTTGAACGAATTTTAAATTTAGAATGGAATAAATTTCTAATTGAATTCTCTAAAATATCCCACTTAGTTACAAATAAATCAAATTAACAAAATGACATTCTCTAATAATTTTTAAAAATAAATGGTGGCGGTAGTGGATGGTGGAAGGTGATAATGGTGTAAGTGGTGGTGTTAGAAGGTGGCGGTGGTGGTGGAAGGTAGTAGTGCTGTTGGTGGAAGGCGGTGGCAGTAGTGTGATGGAAGGAGATAGTGGTGTGACTATGGTGGTGGTGGAAGGCAGTGGTGGTAATAGAAGGTGGTGGAAGGCAATGGCGGCGGTGGTTGTGGAAGGCTGTGGTAGTGGTGTTGGATTAAGGAGATGGTGGTGGCGGTGGTGAAACTTGAAAGGTAGTGGCAATGATGAAAGGCGGTGGTAATGGAAGGTGGTGAAATGCAATGGCAGTGGTGGTGGTAGTGGAAGGTGGTGGTAGTAGTGGTGGTGAAAGCTGGCGGTGGTGGTTGTGGAAAACGGTGGTGGTGAAAGGCGATGGTGGCGGTAATGGTGGAAGACAGTGATAATAGTGGTGATGAGTAAGGTGGAGGACAGTGGTAATAGTGGTGATGAGTAAGGTGGAGGTGATTGTGGTGGAAGGTAATAGTAGTTTTTGGACTTGAAGCATGAGAGTTTTTTGAGAAGTTTACTTTTTAAAAAAAATTATTTAGGAATGAAATGATTATTTCATTGTAGAATGAATTTCCATTTTCATGAATGGATTTTCATTCCAATGGAATGACCATTCCATTCCATTCATGCACACCAAACAAAAGAATGATTGGAATAGGCATTCCATTCCATTCCATTTCTGTATACCAAACGTAGCACAAAGGGAATGATAAGTCACATAAAAAAAGGGTACACAAAATTATTTTCCCAAAAAATGTAGTAGTAAAAATAAGGCATTATACTTTTTTTTTCTAATAAAAACAGTGCTACCACCCCCAATATTTGGTAGTCCAATTCGGACCCTGCTCCTGTGGGGCCCTCCACACTACTAGCGGCCCCCACATACACTAAGCACAAAAGAGCGCCAGAATACAAAAATATACCACAAGCATAGATTACCAAGAACTCCTGGAAAAAATAACAGGATACTCTTGAAATTAAGAGCTGGCTAAGTGTAGTTAACATTGATAATATAAACCGATCAGAACTAACGTGAAAAACACAAAATCCATAACCAACTATAAAATGTTGGCTCGGAAACCTTTACGTGTGCGCGTGGGCTCTCTGATGCCCGAGCAACATTGAAACCAAACACAGCAGATCACACATTTAAAGTAACAGAACCATCCATGTGGGGTGTAAGAAACTGAAAAGTCTGGCCAGTGGGGCACAACACAACCATCCTGGACAAGAATAGAAATATTTCTCGTAAACATTGACAAAGTTTAATTTTTTTTTTGGTGAGAATGTTTATGCAATTTTACAGAAACATATTTACTGCAACCGAATGGCGAAACTAATCTCATACAGAAAATGATTATGCATAAGTTGTCAAAAGTACTAACAAAAGTACTAACACGATACTGAAGAGTTCGACGGTAATAGCAGTATGCTCTCTTCATCAATGCAATTGGATAGAGTATGGACTGACAAAGCACAAGAGTGCCAATGTGTTCCACTTCGCTGCTAATGCACTTGATTGTTCTCTGTTTTTCTTTGGAAAAAAAGCGAACCTAATAGAACAGCAATGCCTGTTATTGCGATGGTAAATAGAAGGCGTTTACGTGAAAACTCATGTGGTGGCCTTCTTTGAGCACCATGGTTTCTTTCAGCTTCCCTCACATCCCTAAACAGATTCCAAATGAACACCACCCATGAAAAAACAAGTAAAAGCACAGTACTTAAAAAAATTCCACAAAGTTCAATAGGGCACACTTCAGTGAACAGAATATGTAAAATTCTAGGACATCAACGGTGTTCCAACAGAGCAGGGTATGACAAGAGTTTTAGTGCATGTAATTTGTTGCGTTGAGATACAATCCTCCCTAACCCAGTTGCCAGAAGTACAAGTTAATTGTGGCAAATGGCAATATTCTACAATACAGACAAATCACATACTGTTTTTTGTAGGAGATAATATGGATTAATTATGTTTTAAATATATTTAATAATAATGCCACCGTATGATCCCAATTGTAGAATCTTTCTACTAAATTTTTTTTCACGGAAAAGGTTTAGGAAGTATATTTCATTGAGACCTAAAAGAATTGGTAGTTCCTAAAGAGGCAGAACCCACAAGACAAGGAATATTTGCTTATATGAATTACTTCCCTTGTATGTCCTTCCACCTAGCCTTCATTAAATGTTTGAATAGTTTATTTTTTCTATCTATTTACTTACAAATAGATAAATAAATAAAATAGACTCTAAAAGACAACAATAGTTTCCTAGCGATCCTAATGTTGCTGACCTGGTTTCTATTTATATTCAATATAAAAGTGTTTCTGAATTACGTAGTACTTCAGAATTTGGCATCCGCAAGGTACATTGAGGAGCAATAAGCATTATTAACAAAATACTCTAAAAGAATCAATGCTCCTATATCAATGAACACTTAATTAAAAATTCATCTAAATAATCTCCATGAATAAAAGAACTCGAACTCCTATTTCTTTTAATACAGCATCAATTAACTTTATTTAAATAAACAAGAAAAAAAGGGTGTAGAAGAAGATTACAATCAAGCAGCAGATACATTTTCAAATTTCGCCAAGAATGGGAAAAGTAGAATAGCAACATAGAACTATGATGAATTTCCACAACACCCCCTCGGCGTCTGTCCTTTTAAATTTGAACTATGATGATTCATTCATATAAAAGAGTTTTCTAAACGCATCCGTTTCAAGGTTTGGAGTGGAAATCACATCAGATTTTGGGAGGACCGTTGGTGTGGGGATTGTGTTCTTGCTTGTAGGTTTCCTTGGCTTTTCAGGATCTCTTCGAACCAACACGCCATGGTTGCTAACTGTTATCACCTTGATAATGGAAGGTCGACCTGGGACGTGCAGTTTCGTAGAGAGTTCCATGATTGGGAGCTTGCGGAGGTTGTTGAGTTTTTGTCCCTACTGTACAGGCACGAGGTGGAGGGTGCAGGGATGGATGAGATGGTGTGGGTGGGTTCACCGAGGGGTCTGTTTAAGGTTAGGGCATTCTATCATTTGCTGTAGGTGATCCCAGGTTATTCTTTCCCTCGGAAAGTGATTTGGAGGTCGATGGCTCCCTTGAAGGTGGCCTTCTTTGCTGGGTGTGCAGCCCATGGTAGCATTCTCACCCTTGACAATCTTAGGAGACGACATATCATGGTTAATTGGTATTGTATGTGCAAGAAGATGGAGGAATCAGTGAATCATCTCCTTATTCACTGCCTGGTGGCAAGGGATGTTTGGTCTATGTTTTTGGTTGCTTTTGGCATGGTTTGGGTGTTTCCTAGAACCACGGTGGATTTGATTGAGGCTTGGAAGGGGTGTCTTGTGGAGAGCCGAGCCAAGGTTGTTTGGAGGGCCACTCCCCTTTGTCTTTGGTGGGGTTTGTGGCTCGAGAAAATAGGAGACATTTTGAGGGCAAGGAGACTCTTATTTGGTCTCTCAAATACACTATATTGCATACTTTATTCTTTTCGGTTAAAGGGCGGCATTGTAAATCTTTGGGGGATCTTTTGGATTTTTGGGTAGCTTAAAGCTTTAGTTGTCACCTTTGGCCTTTTTTTGTGTATTCCATCGGGAGCGCTCCCCTCTTGAGCGCCTTTCTATGAAATTTTTACTTACCAAAAAAAAAAAAAAAGGGTGTTTTTTTATGTCTCATGCCCATAGAAACTGAAAGGCGTTAAAATCCATCACAATATTGGCCATTAAAGAAACCAGTGGCTACCTTAAAAATGATGATGATAAATGTTAAGGACATTTCTATAAAGCCTTAAATGATCCTGCAACAATAGATGTTACTCCTCATGGTCCTTATATAAGGGGGCTTTGATCAATTGAAGTTCGCTACGCAATAGCAGGACAATTTGCTTATGGTTCTAATTGCAATAGATTACATAAAAAATAATAATAATAATAATAATAATAAAAGCAAGAGAATATAATGTTCTTCTTCATTAAAAGCAAAATAAAGAAAAATAATTCTCTTTACCTGGAAGATTCTGCAGTAATATCTGGGCCATTGCATCTGCTTTCATGGTCATTTCTTTCACGTAATCTAATATATCTGCCACACAGATTACAATACTCTGTCCGATTCCCACATACCTCCTAAAATTACAAGTGACAAAAGTTACACTCTCCCAAAGTAGGATTTATTCCTTCAATTTCAATGAAAAGCACTGACAGTTGCTACCTGATGCTCAAATAGATCAATTGCAGGCAACGGGAACTCACAGTACTCGCAAGTCACAATCCTTTGGGGGCAATTTTCACCTTTATGGACAGCTAAAATTTCACGTTCCATTGTCTCACTGCATAGCGAACAGGCCACCTGCTCCAAAACAATATAGTCACCAATGCAACAATTACACACAAAATCAGTATAGAAAATTAGAAATCAAGCAAGAAAAGCTCATCCTAGTGACAGGACAGGTGAACATTAAGAAGCTGTAAGATTTTCCCCTCTAAAGAACCACCATTAAATACTCTTAACAATTCCATAAAAGCAAATGGTTGAAAACCATGAATGTGAAAACCTTTATCTTAAACATCTTTACACCCAATGACTAACTGGTCCTTACATATAAATAAATTTCCCTTATAATCACTCACCACTTATTCTTAAACATCCGGTGAACTTCTCAATGAATGGAAGCATCAAATTTTTGTCAAGCTAAAGAGGAACATTAGGATTACGAGTCTATGATCTCTATTTCCCTTCTTAATTTTTGACATGTTAAAACTGACGGAATATATGGGACCATTATTCAAGAGTAGCATTAGGATGCTGTGTACATACCACAAATACCATTTCGTTGTAATAGTCATCTAGCTGAATTAATAAGTAACTGGTTTTTTTTTTTTGGTAGTGATATTTATTGATTTGGTGTACTTAGCAGGCCATATTTAAATGAGGGTACCACCGGAGTAATAAGTCAGCTAACAAGAAAGTGGGTTTGAAAGCCAAGAAAAGACATGATGCTACACGTACACACACATATTATATTGATAAGTTGCATAATGGTCTACAATGTGGTACAGGGTGTGGCTGGGTAGAGTGTAATTCGAAAAAAGTTGAATTTGTAATGCGACCAACATAATACAACATCCCCCAACATCCCCCACCCCCCAAAAATAAATAAATAGTTAAGGTTATAACACTGGTTTTCTCTTTCCTATCAAAAACTTAAAATTCTCTCCGATCCTGGCATGTTTCAAAATTCGAACTTTTGTATATGACTCTTTCTGAATGCTTACAACCACATAGCAAGAAGAGTTCAGCACGACCATGCTACATATGGACCAAGAGACATGGTGGGACACATTATTAATGGTAAAATTCAGCGGAAATTTTGATGAACATACAAGAAAGAAGTACAAAATCATACAAGAAAAAAAGAGGAAAATACTCCAAAATACAAGAAGAAGATGAATATTTTTATTAATACTACAAAAATACTATAAAGAGAGTCTTGAAGATAGGAGGAGCATGGGGCTGCTATAGAAGCAAGCTGAGCTGAGTATTTGACTGCCTGGGCATCAATGGTGAAAATTAGTGCCTATTTGCTACTTGACTTTGAGTTGAGCCAAGTTGAGAAATTAATGATTGAGCTTGAATAAGCTTAAGCTTGGAGTCTGAGCTCAATAGGTTTGGAATTTTAAGCCAAATGGCAAATTCAATCTTAAAGCCAAAACTTAAGATTGATTAAAAATAACAAGCTGGACCAGTCCAAAAAAAAAAAAAAAAGTTACAAGCTGTAACCTCAATAAATAAATTCTGCTCGCGGGTCCTAAGAAGCCTACTCACGAACTCTTGTTCACAAACTCCTAAGAATCCTATTCATGAGTAGGTTCATGAGGCCAGTGAATGGTGCTGGGGGGTTGTTCAGGTTCCACTCATTCAATGAACAACACGAAAGATGCTAGCAACTCGGCCAGCTTAGTAAAAGAGCACAAGCAGAATTTGAGTGGCTATGAAAGCTTTTTCATTTGCAACCCTAGTTGGAGAGATTGATAATGAAAATGGACCACAGGATAAAGTAGAGAAATCGAGTATATTGACAAATTGGGATAAGTTAGGAAGATGAAGGTTGCGCTAATTGAGAAAAAAGATAGTTTTACAAAATTATACTTTTTTATAAGGATCAGGGCCTAGCGAAAATATTAAATTTACTATTGAAGCTTTATATATATTTATTATACAATTTGTCAATAACATAACTACTTAAGTTATAGCCACCTACTTAATAACACAGGAGGGAACATTTTGGTAATATGAATACTTAAGTTACACCCTGGTTAATTGTTTAAGATAATTACCAGTTTAAGTAACCGAGACACCGCCAATGCAAGGTGCTAGGAGGGATGGACCTAGTACAAACCTAACCAAACAATGTTTGCAAGAAAGTGGTCCCCCTTCAGAGTCAAATCTCCGTTCTGAAGCTTGACAATCAAGCTTTTACTATTGCACCATACAATGACATCTACATTAATTGAATTTTCACAAAAAAGGAAAAAAGAAAACAAGAAAAAGGTACTTAGACTCGAAACATTAATTAAACTAACTAATTAAGTAGACAACCTTTTGGTGCTTGCAAAATCTCAAAATTAAAGATTTGAATGTGGAGTTACAAACCACTTACATGCAATGATATTCATAAAGGCAATTTAATCCAAGCCCCAAAATTGAACATTCAAAGTTCCAATTGAGTAGTGTAATAAAAAGAATGCTTGAGATGGAAAAGGACCAATACAAGAGAAGTATAGTCAATCACATTCAAATATTTTAAAGTGCATCTAGAATACAAAATTATGTGGATACAATAAGGTGATATGTACAGACTTCCTTCGAGTTGCAAAGGGTTAGATGGTTAAGGTCTTCCCATGGATCTAGATTTAATCTGATTCCATGATCTAGATTTCATATTTATAGTAGATTTTTTAAAAAAAGTTGCTCTGGATTTGTTTCATAAAACAATTGCTTTAGAAGAATAGGTATTTCATTCGACTAATAAGTCTTCCAATAGAAAATATTTCAATCTCTCATCAAGCTTCCAATATTTTGAGACTTCAATTTGATTTCACTAAGCACCGATATATTTGTTGAAATCAAATTCAAAACTCCTGATAAAAAGATTGGTATATAATTAATTAGAAGAATGCATGTATTAATAGAATCACTAATCTTGCAAGCCTTGACGATTTCTTGTTAATTCAATACGATCAACACGCTTATCATTTAGCGCACCCAAAAACTTTTCTAACTCAGGAATAAAATCGTCCTTTTCAGCGTTGGTTGCAATGTGTTAAAAACCAGTTCATCATTAGAAAAAGTAATTTTTTACAGAAGGTTCATAAATCTAGCCATTCACCAACACATGGATAACGGTCTGTGGGAAATTAGGCTTGACAAGTAGCTTTCCAACACAACTTTGTAAATACAGGATTTTCGTAATGGGTAATCACTTCAAACATAATCTATCAAAAAAATAAAAATCAAATTAAAAATAAAAAATAAAAACACGATCCACGATTTATGTGCTAATTCCAAATGGAAACAAATGGGGAAACGTCAGGCTTATTGCATTAAGAGTCATCATTTCTCCACATAAATGTCCTTTATTGAACCTATAATAAATTCTAAATTTGCAGTAATAGTTCATATTTCAGATACCAGTAGCATCTGTAGATGTGAATTGCAAGATATCCATTACTGAACCTATAATAAATTCTAAATTTGCACTTTTGCAGTAATAGTTGATATTTCAGATACCTATAGCATCTGTAAACGTGAATTGCAAGAGATCCCAGGTAATTCATAAGAAAAATTCAGCCAGAAAAATATTAGCACATCTCATTTCCCAATTTGAATGCTACAAAATCAAACATCTGTATTGTGCATGACACACTGAAAAGCTGCCGCTCACAGATTATATTCATCATCATCCTCCTTGTCTTTATCACCCCATAAATTAAATTAATTCAACAAATGACAAAGACGATTCGGGGATGGTAGTAAATGGAAAAATGAAAGAAGAACAAAATGGAAATTCAGATATGGGACCAATGAGGCGTGTTGCTGCATTAAACAACCTATCCACCACTCCAGTGTTTGGACAAAAAACATACATAGAAAAGTCTTCTTTATGTATTATTTCTATTTTATCACAGCAAAATGTGTTTTAGGTTAATATATTATCCGTGATCTAATATAGAATTGGAAAAAGAGCTTAAGCTCTCTCCCCTTCCAAATGACATTAAATGAAAGTTAAACAGGGGAAAAAATAACCGAGGAACACAACAAAACACGCAAGCCATGTTAACTGTAATCACCCCTACTACCTTGCTAACTCTATACCTGCAAATGACAACGGTAGTGGCCATTTTGCTAATTGCATGTTTTTTCATGTGCCAAATCAACTGCATGACGCCCCCTGGCTCGGTGCGTCACTCCTTGTACAATTATACAGATAAGAAATTCCACCTCTCTCTCTCCCCCTAAATTTCTATGCTCTTTTCTAGAACTAGGGCTTTATCCCCACAAAATATACTTACAAATTCAAACATATATAAGTGTAGAACAAGGGCTTTATCCCCACAACATATACTTACAGTTCCATATATATACATGTGTACCGACATACATGTAAAAGCGAGAGAGAGATAGAGCGGGGGGGAGGGGGGGAGGAAACGTCGCATAGTAAAGATAGGTCAAAATTTTCTTCCAAATAATGTAGATTGGATCAACCAAGAAAAGGACTGTTATTAATGTTGACCACCAAATTTTAGTGACTATAATTCTGGCAAAAAGCTTCCTGACGTGATAGCAAAACACCCCTTCACAGCATTTAAAAAAAAAAAAAATCATCTGAAAAGAATTAGGAGTGAACCTCTTGGTGACACATACTATACAATATCACTAGGTAAACATTTTAAAAACAAAAAACCTGCATACCGGAGCATGGGTGCTTGAGAAATGATCCTCTGCATATTTTTTTGGAACCATATCTCCACAGACTTTACATCTTTCCAGATTCCGGGAGCAGTGAGCGTAATGCAAATCAATATTTGAAGAAGGAATAGCTCTGTCACTGGAAATATAACATTTTTATGATCATCAGTTGATCACATCTAAAATAATGTCTACAGGGAATATGTAGTCAGAACTTAATACACTGTAACAGGCCATCAATTACTTAACAATGAATAAGACAGTTGATTCTGAATAGCTGGGAATGCCAAATTTAATTTATTTTAAACTTGAGTAATATTGTGGATATTTGAATAAGGAATAGCTGTGTCACTGGAAATCTAACAATTTTATGATCGTCAGTGAATCTTTTGGGTAAGACATCTAAAACAAAGTCTACAAGGAACATGTAGTCATAACTAAATAAGCCGTTAAATGGCATCACTTAACAACGAATAAGGCAGTTGATTCTAAACAGTTGGAATGACAAATTTTAAATACTTTAAACAACTAGTATTGTGGATATTGAAGAACATGATATGATCAATTATAATTGAATTTGTCATTCAGCATATCACTGGTCACTATCAGCATATAGGGCTTTTATAAACCATCGTTTCATGACCAAACTGCCACTAAAAAAAGGACTGCGTTAACGTGAAATAAATTTCAATGCTTTACAGAGTGAGAACACTAGTGATATCAAATGTTGCCAGAAGAGATGAACTATAGTTTATTATAGAGTTTAATCCACTCAATAAACTTGGCAAATGTTACTAGTTATAAACACACACATAAGCTGATATATACTCTCTCTCTCTCTCTCTCTCTCTCTCTGTAGATGGATAAGCAAAGAGCAATTATTCATGGAAGAACTCTGACAGCTAATCATGATGACTCTTCTTGTGTCACCTTCCATGCCTCAGATTATGTGCATTGACAACTTAGCAGAACAAATAGGTAATAGCACATTCTGTGGAAACCCCATTCAAACGCTGAACAATTAGCCATAAAATATGGTAATGGAATGAGAGATGAATTGAATGGACAGATAGATAGCAAGAAGTTAATTTGAATCAAAAAGAAAAAAGGGAAACATGACACATGGAAACAACATAAAGGAAAAAAACCCTGACAACAAACATAACGAGACTATATGTCAAAAGAATCAGAGCATATTGTCACGCCCCGCCTATGGAGGTTGTGCCACGCAGGCGACACGCAGACGCTGAGGAGGACGCTGCATGGCAACTGCATGGCAAGTGGAGTTTCTAGAGTCTTCCGGAATAGTCTAGAGTTATGTGGAAGATTCTAGATATGTGTAGAAATGTGTAGAAGTGTGTGGAAGGTTCTAGAGTTCTCCAGAGTTGTGTGGAGTAGTATGGAGAATTCTAGAATGTTATAGATACTAGTAGATAAGTATGGAAGTGTGAAGAAGGTGGGAGAAGATTCTAGATAATCAATCTCCACCGTTGGTTAGAATGCATCCTAGCCGTCCATTAGGGATGGGGATGCCTATAAATAGAGGTAGGACTTCATTTTGTAGGAAACAAGTCCTAGAGTGAGTCTTGAGAGCCTTGTAGAGAGCTTGAGTGTTAGCCTTGTACAAAGCATTCTTTGAAGTAATAGAAGTGTTCTTTCCTTGCCAACTTAAGTGCCTTAGTGTGTGTGAGTGTGCAAGCCAAGTGAGGAGAGGGCAAGGGCAACTACAACACTAGTAAGCGCACGAGGGGAGTGTGTTGGCTAAGGTGTGCACGGGAGTTAGGCTGACCAAGTACTTGCGAGAGTGAAAGCAACGTCTTGGTGCCGCACGGGAGCAGCTAGAGTGGTGCTGAAACTCTAAGCCCGTGACAGTTGGTATCAGAGCAGGTTCGTCAAGGGAGCTTTGTTGGAGTAGACATGGCTAGCGGAGGAGACCACCAAGTCCACATCTTAGAGCAGAGCTTGGAGGAGAAGCTTGCCACACACTTGGTCTACACGGAGACTAAGTTTAATAGGCTCGAGAGAAGGATGGCGGAGCTCTACGAGCTGATTGATGGCATCGCCAACAAGGCGCAAGAGAAAGAAAGGGACTTGCATGATCGGGTAGACGACTTGCGCATGGAGATTGCCGAGTGCAAGAAGGAGTTCTCTCAGGCGCGCGAGGTCGTGGTGAAGCCAAGGAAGAAGAAGGCGCCGGAGCCCAAGGAGTACGATGGGGCAAGGAATGCGCGCCAGATTGACAACTTCTTCTGGCACATGGAGCGGTACTTCGAGTGCATGGAGATCGAGGATGATGAGGAGAAGGTGCAGACAGGCACTATGTACCTCACGGACAATGCCGCTCTATGGTGGAGGCAGCGCTTCACCGGTAGAGGCGCAAGAGCAGTTGACACATGGGAGGAGTTTAAGAGGCAGCTCAAGAGGCAGTTCTATCCCGAGTGCGTTGAGGACCTCGCCATGATCAACCTAAGGCGCCTGAAGCAGAAGGGCAGCATAAGGGAGTATGTGAAGGAGTACTCCAACTTGATGCTGGAGATCCCAGAGATGCCGGAGCGGCAACGTGTGTGCTTGTTCATTGATGGGCTGCAGTCTTGGGTGGCCATGGAGCTAAGGAGGAGGGAGCCTAGAGACTTGGCATCCGCAATGGCTATAGCGGAGCGCCTCGAAGACTTTAGGCGCGATGACAAGAGGGCCATGTCTCCCAAGAGGGACCACGGCAAAGGTGGGGGAGACCGGCGCTTCAAGAAACGGGGCTCGCCCAAGTCTAGCGATGATGAGCACAGCGATGAGGAGAGACGCCCACGCCATGATAAAGGTAAGGACCACGGAGAGAGGTCTAAGGCTAGTGGCAAAGGGGAGCGCCGCGATAAGGGCAAGTGGGAGCCGAAGTGCTACTTGTGCGAAGGGCCGCACATATTGCGACACTGCCCCAACAAGAAGACCATGAGCGCCCTTGTGAAGGATAAGGGCAAGGGCAGGGTGGACGATGCGGGCAGCGATGAAGATAGGTGCATGGGGGCTATGCAGATGCTGAGTAGCATGGCGCATGACACCAAGAAGAAGGGCAAGGCAAAGAAGGTAGCTGGGGTGCGCTATGTGGATGCGCAGGTTGGTGGCAAAGCCGTGCAAGCGTTGGTAGACACGGGTGCTACACACAACTTCATTACCCCGGAGGAGGCGCAACGACTTGGCTTGGAGATGCGCAAGACGGAGGGCTGGATCAAGGCCGTCAACTCCGAGGAGGCACGCGTGAGTAGAGTGTGCAAGGAGGTGGAGCTATGCATGCAAGGATGGAAGGGCAAGGCTGACTTCCAAGTTGCGGAGATGGACGACCACGACATGGTGCTGGGGCTGGAGTTCATGGACAGGAACAACGCCGCGCCACTACCATGCCTTGGTGCGTTGATGATACTTGGAGGCGAGGAAGGCAAGGCCGCATGTATGGTGCCGCTCGTGGGCAGGAAGGAGAGTCCAGAGGTGGCAGTCAACACGATGGAGCTCGCGAGGACTTCACATCTCCCGAAGGGCGCTCGTACGTTTGGGCCAAGGACATATGCGCAAGTGCTGATGACCTGCGAGAGGCTGGGTCAGCTGAAGAAACCGTGACGAGGGCGTCACGGAAATGGGTGGGGGAGAATGTCACGCCCCGCCTATGGAGGTTGTGCCACGCAGGCGACACGCAGACGCTGAGGAGGACGCTGCATGGCAACTGCATGGCAAGTGGAGTTTCTAGAGTCTTCCGGAATAGTCTAGAGTTATGTGGAAGATTCTAGATATGTGTAGAAATGTGTAGAAGTGTGTGGAAGGTTCTAGAGTTCTCCAGAGTTGTGTGGAGTAGTATGGAGAATTCTAGAATGTTATAGATACTAGTAGATAAGTATGGAAGTGTGAAGAAGGTGGGAGAAGATTCTAGATAATCAATCTCCACCGTTGGTTAGAATGCATCCTAGCCGTCCATTAGGGATGGGGATGCCTATAAATAGAGGTAGGACTTCATTTTGTAGGAAACAAGTCCTAGAGTGAGTCTTGAGAGCCTTGTAGAGAGCTTGAGTGTTAGCCTTGTACAAAGCATTCTTTGAAGTAATAGAAGTGTTCTTTCCTTGCCAACTTAAGTGCCTTAGTGTGTGTGAGTGTGCAAGCCAAGTGAGGAGAGGGCAAGGGCAACTACAACACTAGTAAGCGCACGAGGGGAGTGTGTTGGCTAAGGTGTGCACGGGAGTTAGGCTGACCAAGTACTTGCGAGAGTGAAAGCAACGTCTTGGTGCCGCACGGGAGCAGCTAGAGTGGTGCTGAAACTCTAAGCCCGTGACAATATGGAGGCTTTACTAACCCGTAAAAGGAACAAAAAAAAAAGAAGAAAAAGAAGCTAACAGAGTTTCTATAAGTAAATGTTAGAGTAGCAATGGAACATCCCTTTTTCAATGAAACTTTGAAATCAATTTTCATTGGAAATTTAACATGTCTTTGAAGTTTCCAATGATGGGAAATATGAATTTAATTTTCAAAAATTCCCCAAAAGGTTCTCTCTGTAAGTTCTAGAAAATGAAGCAGCTTTCCACTCAAATACGAGCTTTGCTATACCGTGCCTTTACACCATAAGGCATGATCTTCAATGCATAACAAGAACATCAATACTTTAATTAAAGAAAATGAGATCAAATTTACACGAATTCTGAATTTCATGTTATATCATAACTTATACCCTAAAAAAACTAAACAAAACAAATCAAATCATAATTGTATCCATATACATATAAAACAGAAAAGGAAATAAAAATGAGACCAACAAAAACATAAAAAATGAACCTAAAACATGATTTTAGAAGTCTAATCAAGATAACAATTCATATATAGTCAATCAAATTCAAAGTTATAAGAAGGAAGGCCCTATTACCAGTGGCTGCAGACGCTTATCTCCTGATCAGAAACTACTGCCATATCCGCACTCAACAATTCAACCAGAACTTCCTTCTTAACTCAAAATTCTCTACACGAATCGAAACAAAACATCAAAGTTAAAAGAAAATAAACAACAAAAAATAACCAAAAAAAAATAAACAAAAATTGGGTATATATATATATATATATATATATATATATTATATCTTAGCAAAAATTCGAATGAGGTTAAGTAATAGGTAAGATTAAACCTTTGATTTCGGAGAGTGTTTGTGTTAGGGACCTAGACCTTAAAGTGATCTGTTGATCGGAGATCAGCCACCAATAATCCGTTGAGAGAGAGATAGAGAGATCGATTCTCTTTTTCGCTGAGACTACTGAAAATTTTGGACCCTGACGACGAATACGCATTGACGTTGTGTCAGGCGTTTGGAGGAGTCGTATATCATGTGGAGGGCCTCGTCGACTCACGCTCCATTAAATACGTGTGAAACACGCACTGTCACTTGGATTGGACTCACTTGGGTTGGGCTTATGAATTGATGGGTTGGGCTATCATTTTTTTTTTTTTTTTTCTTTCTTTCTTTTAAATATGTGCATTGGTGCTATCATCTTTTTCTTTTCGGTGCTATCATCTATTTCTTTTCAATTTTTTAACCTTTTTTTTATGTAATATTATTGAACCCATGTATCATGTTTTATGCCTGTCGCCAACTGGAGAGAGAATAAAATATTGGATTTATAAAGATGATTAATATCTTGACCTAAAAGTAACCCACTTATACATTGGTTCTTCCATTTGTAGAAGGGGGTTAAACCACTTGTACAACCATAACTTGTCCTTAGTGAAAGAGAACTTCCACATTAATAATTTTATTTTTAGTAACAAAAAATTAACCCACTTGCCAGTTACTTTTAACTCTCAAATTGTTTGTAAATTTTATATGCGTGCAATCATCGAGTGCAAATGACTTGCATCAGTTAAATTCAAGTCAATTAGAAAACCTGAGGGGAGAATCCAAGTCTTACTGGCTGAATTGTCCTTGGATCATCATCTTGTTCTTCCTCAAAAAGCAAACGCTGCCATGGAGAGGCACGGACCCAACATATTTTTTATATTTTCATTTTTTACCTTAAATTTTTTAGAATTTATGAAGATGCCCTCACTAAATTACAATTTGCCCCCACTAGATTTTTTTTTTTTCTTTTGCATTTTATACTTCAATTTTTTTATAATTTATGAAAATGCCCCCACTAAAATTACAATTCACCCTCACTAAATTTTATTTTTTTTTAATTTTGCATTTTATACTTTAAATTTTTGAAAATTTATGGAAAAAAACCATATTGAAATTACAAAAATAGACCCACTATATAGGTTGCCCCCACAAATTAAAAGGTCTTCCCCCTCACAAAATTTCCCAGGTCCATCACTAGCCATAAATTATTCAACAAGAGGCTTTAGTTCCATTTTTTTTTTTAGAGAAATAAAATTTATAAACCAAAGGAAAAACTATGCAACAGGGCAAAGCCCAACTCGGCAGACCAAAAATAACAAGCCCAACCCAACTACACAGAATCCGTTGCAACAACTGCATTTCAAAGTATTGGGGGAAACAGAAACCAGAGCAGAGAAGAACAAAAACAAGCTAACACACATGCCTCAGTCACTAACCATGGAAGCTCCATCAATCACAGAGCTTGGGAGGGACCAAGCACCCGCGATTAACCTGGCACTTCGGCAGTCATTGATCTAATAGACAACAACTTGTTCCTGAAGCAATCATCAATTTGTTTGATCAAAACATTCGAAGTAACACATTTCCCCGAAAAGGTATACGAGCATTCCTTTCTTTCCACAAGTAATATATACCAGTAGAGAAGCAAATCTTGTAGGTGTACAATGTGATAGATTTTGAGGCACATTAGCAACCCATTTAGCAATGTTGGTAAACATCAGATCCAAACAATAAACTCCACTTTTGTGTTGGAAAAACTCCCAAACAGTTCTCGAGAACTGACATTCAAAAAACAAGTGTTCATGGGATTCATCTCCTGTTGAACAAAGAGAACATCTACCTGAGATGCATGAATTATAGCATCTAGTCTCGAGTATTCTATTCAAATTAAGGCATGTCTTGGAATAGAATTCGAAAAGCAAATGATATACACCCATGGAAACATAGGGCCTAGATCAAGGAAAGCGTGTGTGGCAGCTTGCTTGAGATTGAAACAACCTGAAGGAGAGAAAGATCATACAATTTTATGGTTAACATCATTATGAATCTGTGGGAGTTGGTCAAGACCATCAATAGTTGACACTAAAGCTTGAAGGGAAGGATGGATTCTCCATTGTCCACGACTAATTAGGTTAATTTGAAACATTAGCATTATCACCCCCAAATTGAACCAGAAAAAGGAATGATTCAAATCTCTGGTCCAGAGGTCCCATTGGGAACCAATAGTCATGCCAAATACAAGTATTTTTGCCATTGCCTATATGGTACTTGATACAAGGTCTAGCAAGGTTACGTAGCTTTAACATCATTCTCCAATTCCAAGAGTGAAGATGCGTTGAGACACCAAAATTTTTTACCCTCTATAATGTTTGATCAGTGAACCCTTTCAAATCACAAAAACTGAGCTAAATTTGGAATCCCCAGACCCCATACTCTTTAGGCTAGCTTACAAACAGCTCTCCAATTGACTTTTGCTCTTTGTGGACTTAAGCTTAGAATCAGTCCATAAAAACCTTCTTAGGATGGTATTAATCTGCATATTCATCCGCATAGGAAGAATGATTTGGCTACTCCAGTAAGAGTGAATACTAACTAGGACTGCAGCGTCCCCGCATAATTTCACAAAAATCTTGATGTCCAATTAATAATTCTAGTAGTGATCTTGTTCACCACGTGTCTACATACAATCATTAGCCAGCAGCCTTGATGCAGTGAGAGGAAGGACAGACACTGACCATCTCATCTTGCCTGTTATTAGGAACATTATAGATAAAAATGAGACTTTTGTTAGGATTAGGGCTGAGATCAGCAAGGGACGAGAACCTTCTTAGGCTCCTGATGAGGAGCCGAAGAGATTGTAGATCACCATGACAAAATAACGTACATTAGGTCATCAGCAAAACATAGATGTGAGATGATGTTCTTTTTGCACCTCCAATGGCACGGTAGACAAAAACTAAGCTCATATATTCTCAATGGTCCTAGATATTATAGAGGTTAATACATCCATGACAATGACAAAAAGCATAGGGGACGTGGAGTCACCTTGCCTTACGTCTTTAATGCCCTTAAAATAACCATGTAGCTCACCATTGATGGACACAAAGTATGATGGAGAAGTCACACAAGCCTTCACCCATTTCAGACAAATTTTTTTTTTTTTTTGGTCTTTTTTTTTTTTACAAACCCTAATGAAAAGAATTTTGGAATGTAAAAATGGGTCCGAACTCTTTATCAAATGGAATAAACTTTTAGCTCCGTTTGTTTCGACGTAAAATATTCTTTTTGAAAAATATTTTTCTTTTTCAGGTAAAATATTTTTTTATTTTTACTTTGTTGGTATTTGGTAAAGGTTTACGTCGAGATTGAGGTCAAGTCCATCGGGCGAGATATGTAAAATAACTTGCCAAAAATTGATGGAAATTATTTTTGTTAAATTTTAAATTTTTTTTTGCTTTGTAAATATTTTACGACAACTAAACACCTGAAAATAAAAAAATATTTTTTAAAAAATATTTTACGTCCAAACAAACAGAGCTTTAGTTCAACAAATTTTAGAGTTCGAGTTTAATATTTTTATCTATTTTACATGTGTGTGTGGAGCATAAATCCCTAGAGATTGCTTATAAAATACGTCTAACAACTCAGAATCTTTTTCTATCCAGCCCGGTGATATCTCGTACTGAAAATTCTGCATAATCATTTTCTATCCAGCCCGGTGATATCTCTTCATGCCCAGCAATTCCACATTGCTTAATAGGCTAGCTTTAATTTCCAACCATTTTTTAATGCAACATACATTTATTAAAAGGTATGGTACTATGTACTTTTAATGTTTTTATATAAAATAATTATATTTTATACCTTTTGTTTTGTTATTTTTCTTCAGCAACAAAGTCTCTTGTACTACACCTTGGGCTACATAGCCAAAAATGGTCATGTCATCCAATTGAAACCTCTAATGTGGATTATAATAGTATAAAAACTATCCTAAACTCATGTGGTGTACCTAACTTAACTTTCTATATTCAAACAACAATATATATATATATATTTTTTTTTGTTTAAAAATGTTTGATCCAACTCATCCACTGCCTTTCACATACATATACACTCTTTTACAACATGTCACAACTCACAAGATTGGCAACATTTTTTTTTTCCCATTCTTGTGTTTGTCTTTATATTGATTTTATAATGAAAAACCAACATAGCATCCTCTCCACTTTTCTTTGTTTTTTTTCTTTTCATTATCTCCTGAATAACATTTTGTCCCGTCGTGAATAAAAAGTGAAGACAGACTGCTATCTGCTGAACAAATCAACTAAAAGCTAGTAGAGGAAAAAGTGAAGACAGACTATTATCCGTTGAATGAATCAACTGAAAGTAGAGGAAAAAGTAAAGACGGATTCTTATACGCTGACTGAATCAACTGAAAGTAGAGCACACGGAATCGGATCTTTGTCCTTGAAAAACTATTATAATTACAACCCGAAATTTTATCACATACGAAATTTTGAACATACCTTTTACTCCTCTTCTTCTTCTTTTTTTTTTTTTTCTTTTTTATTTATTTTTTATTATTATTTTTTTAAGGATCAGCATTTAAATATTAATGTTATAAAGTATTTTGCTGATTTGTCCTTATGTTTAAAAGAGCCAATGTCTTAATTCAAAATATGATATTTCAAAGATTAGGAGTGATGAGCACTGAAAAGTGCATATTTAAACCCCTTAAGCTTAGGCATTCTAGTACCTTTATCTATCTTACTTTACCGTTTTACATTGATTTCATATCATTTCCATTTTCAGACACTTATTCCGAAAATAAGCTAACTCAGCCAAATAAGAGCTTAATTGAAGCAATTCTGAGATTAAACAAAGAAAGGAGCAAAGTGGAGGAAGAAAGAAACAAAATGAAGCAAAGCAGCAAGTTCGATCGATCTAAGTCCAAGGTTCGATCGATCGAACATTGATCGATCTCAGCACTTCAAGATAGATCCAAGCCTTGACCCAAAGCACTTAAGTCCAAAAGTTCGATCGATCCAACATCATTCTTCGATCGATCGAACACCTTTATCCTTATCCAAATGATTGATCCTATCCACAGCTGTATCACTCACCAACCACTTTTGTCCTTTTCCCATAAATATCTCCCACAAATATCTCGAATTTGTTTTTTTCCCAA